TCAAAACCGATCTAAAGCTGCCTGTTTAAGCTGGCTGGAACGGACATCTTCAGTGCGAGTAGCTTTTTTTTAATGAAAAAAGGTAGGAGAAGCTGAAAAATATGTACACAACTGGAAGTACCAAAGTAACAGTGACTTAAAAGAACACTTGTAGTTCCAAGATGCTAGCTCCTAGTTTAAAGATGAATCCATAATTGAACTTTGTCATAAATTACGCTACAGTTATTTGCACAACTACAGACCTACAATATTAATATCTCAGAAGCAAAAACTGTTCTGAAATGTTCTGTATAACATCTAACTGGGCTGCCTCATTGTACGCGGGAGTCAACACCTTACCATGAAAATACTGGGTGAGCACACAATGATTAAAAGGAACACTAAATAATGGGAGGGTGGTGAATAACCATGTGAGAGAGAAAAAAAAGAAATCAACTGCAGAAATAGCACAAAAGGATTCTGTGTCAGCCATCAACACAGAAAGATCTGAGAGACCAGAGGTGGAGTCTTGTCTATAAACTGCAACAGCTCAGCTTTTACAGGGCTCCCCCTTGCTCCTAGAGTAACAGCTGTGCGTTTCTATCTTGGAAATCAAAATAATACAGCAAGGGAGGAAAAAACAGTAATAAAAAAGAGAAAGCTCAAAGCTGGTCACCTTCAACATCTTTTTAAGTTAGGTAACCATCTACCAAGCTCATTTGCCTACTTGCTCTGTCAGCTCCATAGCAGCCATTTTATGACTCCACAGCTGTACCCACACAAACCTGCTTTGTGCAGAGCTGCATTCTGAGGAGCTCCGTGTCTGTGTGTAACCCCACCATGCAGAACTTCTGGCCTCAAAGACCTGGAAAAATTCACGTACCTCCTGTCTGACCCTTCCCTTCCCCTCCCCTGGGGGAAGAAGGTGGACAACTAGTAGGGGGGCAAGAAGAAAAAAACCTGCCTCTCCTCCAGTAAAAGCAGTAAAGGCAGGTAGTTTAAAATCCCCTCTTACGGAACGCATCCAAGCACGCATGAAAAAAGACTATTCAGACTGCTCCGTGCGAAAGAAGCTGGTTAACATTCATCTGACCTCTGTTACTTAACAGAGGCAGTTTAAACCCTGTTAGGATTCAAAATGGCAGGACCAGCACACTGGAGGGGGGCGCTATGATGCAGCTTTGCACAAAATGGCAGCAGCACTACCACAGCCCGACTGACGCAAAGCCGGTGCATGAACAGCAAAGCCCCCTTCTGCTTACTTACATCGTTCTCTGTAACCGTAATGGGGAGGCCACGTAACATGATAGTTTTGCTTTCTTTCTCATCGTTAATGTCGTTCCTGTAGTCGTGCTCTCCATAGTCGCCATCAGAATGGTATCCATCTTCCGATTTGTCACTGTTCCTGCGCTCCCGTTCCCTCTGAGAACCCAGCACCCAGAATTAACCACTGCCGATGTCTAGCGGCATGCGCCCGAAATGCAGTTAAGAACAAAGCATAACAAAACCAGCTCCCCATACGACCACCTTCCTCGGGTTTGGTCCTGACAGCCTCAGGCACACCACTGAGCTCAAACCCCTACCCCTGCCCTAACATCCCACCCTCCCCGCCGTGATACCAACCCAAGCACCGGGCTCCTCCAGCCCCAAGAGGCCTCTTACAGGGGTCCCGGGCTGGGCGCAGCCCACCAGCCACCGCCTGGCCCCCTCCCCACCTCGGGGTGGCCGTAGCTGCCCCACGGCGTCAGCGCCCAAGGCTCCGGCCCGGATAGCTCCCCCCACTCACTTCAGGGCTATCGTAATCGCGACTATCGTAGTCTCTATCATAGTCTCGGCTGTCACGACTGTCGTAGTCTCGACAATCCCGGCTGTCGTAGTCCCGGCAATCGTAGTCTCGGCTGTCGTAGTCCCGGCAATCGCGGCTGTCATAGTCACGGCAGTCCCGGCTGTCGCGACTATCGTAGTCCCTGCAGACCCTGCTGTCGCGACTGTCGTAGTCCCGGCTGTCGTAGTCTCGACTATCACGGCTATCATAATCTCGACTGTCGTAGTCACGGCTATCATAGTCGCGGTAGTCATCGTAGCGGTCACCGCGGCGCTCTCCACTGGACCTCTTGCAGTCAGAGTCCCTGCGCCGGCTCCGGGACTCTCGCTCATCACGGTCCTCCCTCTCCACGATAGAGCCGTAGCGGCCGCTCCGCTCCGTCCTGCTCACGCTGCGGGTCACACCGAGCCGAGCTCAGAAGGAGAACAGCCCGCAACGACCCCCACCACTGCCCATCCTGCGGGGCCGCCCGCCCCTTCGTCCCTCTCCATCCACTCCTCCCTCCGCCCTCCCGCCCGATCTCACCGCTTGTCCGAGCCCATGCCGCCGCCCGCGACCCGCAAGCACTGAGCGCAGCAACAAACGCCACCACGGCGCTCACAAAACACTGACGCAGGAGCTCGCTCCCTCGCCACAAAATGGCGCCGACGTGACTGCCCGTCTTCTACCCAGGAAACCCCGCGCCTGCCGCCTGGAACGTTCCAAGCGGTGCGCAGGCGCAGACGGCCGAGGGGCATGCTGGGAGCTGTAGTGCGGGACGGCGCCTCCCCCTCGGAGCAGCCGTGTCTGGGCCGGGACCTGTCCTTCTGCCACCGCCATGGGGCTCGTGGCACGGGGGGACCCAGCTCCACCGTCACTTAGTTCTTTACTCGGAGCCCCAGCCTGCACTGCCCCGGACAAGGCATCCACTGCCTCTGTGTGCAACTCAGTCCAGTGTCTCGCCACCCTCATCACACGATGTTTCATCCCTACGTGTAATTTAAACCCACCTTCTTTCGGTTTGAAACCACTGCTCCTGTCATTGCAGGCCCGGTAAAAGGTGTCCACATCTCACACGCCCTCTTTCGGTATTAAAATCCTCCAATAAGCTCTGCCTACAGCCTGCTCCACGCCAAACAACCCCACCGCTCACAGCCTTTCTCCATAAGCAGAGGTGCTACCGTGTGATTTGGCGGGCCGAGACTGGGCCCGCGATGGGGCCTGGTGAAACCCAGGGTTCCTGGGTTCCCTGGTCGTAACCTGCGGTGTGTCACTGCAACCGTAACCAGGGGATCGGCTATGTTAGGGGGACCCCAGCACCCCCAGGTCAGTGCGGCTGCAGCAGTGGCCGAGTGCATGGTGTGCACCCGGCATCCCTGCGCGCGCAGCAGCATTCATACGAGGGGAGACCCTGGGCCTCCTGTGGAAGAGGGAAGAGCCTTGGAGTGCCTGAGGGCCACGGGCTGTGCCCCGGCCCAGCCGCAGGTGGGGGTGGCCCCAGTGCCCAGGAGCGAGGGGACAGTGCAGGCATGGGCAGGCTTGGCTCTACTGCAAGGTATGCCATGGTGTGAGCCACAGGGAGTTCCCTGTCCCGAGGCCCTTTCCTGGTCAGAGCAGGGCCACGGCTGCGCTGCTCCCCCAGGCTGCCAGGGCTGCCCTCGAGACCCCGCTCCCTTGCAGACCCTGTCAGCGATGGACAGCATGTTACAGGTGCTGGTGTGCAGTGCCAGCACCCTCGGCATCCAGGAACTGCAGAACATCTTCAAGGTCTGGCCTTGGCACAGGGTCCCCCTGGGCAGTGACCTCTGGCTTGAGCATTCCCCCCCCCCCAACAGCCCTTGCCTCCTGGCTGCTGCCAGAGCCCCTTCTCCTGCCCCAGCGCACCCAGGTCCTCACCCACTGCCTGTACTGCACAACCCTCCAGGCGCAGCTGCCTGTCTGGAAAGGGGAGCCCAGCCCTGGCGCTCTCCCCCTGCGGCTTCACGGGCCAAACCCCAGAGCCCCAGCACAGGTCCCCAGGGAGGGGTCACCCCAAAGCCTCGGGGTCCTCAGGGGCAGCGGGCAGCGGGAGGGACCTCTTCTGAGCAGCAGGGCGGCAGCAGCAGCAGTGGGATGTGGGGACCCGCCTGGCCACAGCCCATTGCTGCGAGGGGCAAGGAGGACACGTGCCCCGTGTCAGGCACCGCCGGGCTGCTGTGCTGTGCCACCCCACCTTCTGGCACACCAACGCGTGCACCCGGCTGCCCGCCTCACCGGCAGCGCACTGCAGGGAGCTCTCCCGTACTCGCCCGGTGCCCGTCCAGCCACGTGTGCCTCAGTCTCCCCAGGCTGCTCAGTGGGAAGCGCGGCAGCCACGCTGCCGGACATGGCCTACTGCCAGCAGCCCCCTGCCACGGCACCCAGACTGCACCCCCCATCACTGCGATCCACACTGCACCCACACGAGGTGCACAAACCTGAACGGCATCACCCAGCTGATCACTGCCCCCACCCCATCACCGATCCAGCTCTTATCCGCCATTGACCCACCACTGACCAGTCACTGACCCGTCACCCGTCCCCTCAATGCCGGGCCCGTCACTGACCCGCCACCGCCTTCAGGACCGCCTCCCTCCCTGCCCCGCCTCTGCCCATCACCGACCCCCCTCTACTCCCGCTCCGCTCGCCACCGGTTGCGGCACGCGCGGTGGCCGGTGTCATGTCGCCGGGCGGAGCTCACCGCCACTGGCACCACATGAAATTGGGGTCTCGCTGGATACAGAGACTTAGGCACAGACAGGGCGACGAGGATGCTTAAACTGGTGTTTCACTGCCTCTGGAGGCTACAGTTCTGCGGGTAAGGAAGGCTGCAACAGGAGGACCAGATGTCTTCTCCCACCACAGCGTAGGTTCCTCCTTTTGCTAAGAAACAGGTACATGGCTGCAAAAGAAAACACCTCGAGGAGCCTCTCAGGGTCGTAAATTGGAGCAAACAAGAACATGTAGTTGGTTTGAAAGACTAAACACGCATTCCAACACCCTTGACTAAGGGATTTCCATAAAAGTGTAAAATGAGTCAGGGGATTTCTCCCCAAACGAGCACTACAACCCCCAGAGACCACTCCTCAAATGCACAGCGCCTGCGCCATGGCCTTATCTGCCCAAATTACCACGTGCATCAGTAAGGAGAATCGGGTGGGATTTCACGCATCACAATGAGTACATACGTAACGACGTCTAAGCTGTAAACTGTCCCTTCTCGGTGTGTGTGTTAGGCAGAGTGACTCCCCATGCACCCGGTACCCTAACAAAGTAACGTCGGGTTTCTAACCTTTCATTCTGGTTAGAGAGTTTATTTCCCGGATTTTGGTGACAAGCTCACGGCCATGGAGTGTCCTACTGACCCACCGGGGGTCCTAGGGGCAGAGGAGGCAGCGCTGGCCTTCCCCAGCCCCACAGCAGGAGGCTGCCCACTCCAACCCGCTCCTTGCCACCCCTTCCCGCTCCCTCCTGCTCCAGCCCGCTCCTGCTGCCCAGGGCTCTGCCAACCGGGCCGTGTTTCAGGGGGTGAGGTGGGTAGGGATCCCTGGCAGGGGCCATCACTGACTCATAATTGACCCATTATTGACAGCCCTGGCAACCGTAACCAGGGGATCGGCTATATTAGGGGGACCTCAGCATCTCCAGGTCAGTGCGGCTGCAGCAGTGGCCGAGTGCATGGTGTGCACCCAGCATCCCTGCGTGCTCAGCAGCCTTCATACGAGGGGAGACCCTGCGCCGTGTCCAGGGCCTCCTGTGGAAGAGGGAAGAGTCTTCGAGTGCCTGAGGGCCACGGCCTGCGCCCCAGCCCAGCTGCAGGTGGGGGCGGCCCCAGTGCCCAGGAGCGAGGGGACAGTGGGGTTGTGACAATGGGGTACTCCGGCTCAGATGAACCCCAACCCTGTGCCGGGAGGAGGAGGAAGGAGGAATCAGTCCCACCACCCGGGGGCAAGGAGGGCTCCGTGGGGCTCTGGGGTCACAGGAGGGGTGCTGTGGAGGGGGGGATCAGGAGCTTGAGCGGGGATGACATCGGGGAACTCTGTCAACCAGCCCTGCCTGCACAGTGTCTCAGGGACATGGTGGGAGCAAGGAGCCCCACAAGCACTCTGGTGGTGGGGGGTCCCCTTCACCCCTTTCCTCCCTCCCTCCCTCCCTCAGGATGGAGGCGAGACCCCCCAGCAAACCCAGGCTGGCCTGGGTGGAGGAGGACGAAGCTGGCCCGGCTCCCAGCTCCGGGCTGAAGTGCAATGAGATGCGTACAGGTGAGTGCGCGGGTGCTGCGGGCAGGGGCTGCCCACCCTGCCCCGTCCCACGCTTGCAGTCCCCAGCCAGGCATCGGCCCCGCAGTGCAGAGCCCAGGGAACAGCCTCACCACAGCATCTCTGGGCCAGGAGCTCCCTCTTCCCCTGGTGCCGGGTGTCCCTCCTTGGGGCACACTGGGCCTCCTTCCCATGCTGCCCTCCCGCATCGCATCCTCGCCCCTGGGGTGCACGGGTGGCACCGTTGTCCCAGCCTAGAGCCAGGACTGGGGACATCCCTGAAGCTGGGCAGAGGGCTCGTGTACTGCCTGCCCTCCAGTCCTGCCTGCTCTCTCTTGGCCAGGTTCATGCATCTCAACTGCGGACGTGTCCAGCGAGGAAAAGAACAGCCTGGACACCATCGAGGCGTCCATCAGGAGCAGACCAAAGGTATCCACGACCACTTCCATGCGGCTGTGCCTGTGTCTCCTGCACGGTCTTTCTGCCTCCGTCCCATACTCAGAAGGTGCTGAGGGGTCTTACGGACCCCCCATCTGTCTCTCCCGCCTGACGATGTCTGTCCATCTGTCACCTCCCCGGCTGGCAGCAAGAAGACCAGAAGCTGAGGTTTCTGGAGTCCGTCTGCACCATCTGCACCACCAGCAGCATGCACTCCTTCCTGTGGGGCACGCTGCTGCTCTTCCAGCCTGAGCTGGCTGAGACCCTCGAGGTGAGGGGATGGCTGGTCAGGCTGAGGCAGGGTCAATGGCACAGCCCTGGGGCAGGAGAGGGCTCAGCCAGGCAGGGAGTGCGAGTGGAGCGAGCGCCGCTCTGGGGCTACATCCTTGGCGATGCTCCAGAGCCACCTGCATGGCCCGGCTGCAGCTCCCTTGGCCAGGCTGTGCTCTGTGACGGGCGCAGCCCTTCCTGCTACGCGGCTGGGACCACTGCTAATGGTTGGGGGTGCCAGGATGGGCTCTGACAGCCCCGCGGGCTATTGCTGGAAGAAGGAGCTGCCCTGTCCTGACCCATCCACACTGCTGTGCCCCTCAGGTGCTGCTGCAAGAGGAGCCCGTTGATCGCCTGGACACCACGGTGCGGCAGCAAGTCATGCTGACCATCGCTGCCATGAGGTACCTGCCCAGCCCCAGCTCGGCATCCCCGGCGCCCAATGCCCCATCAGCCCTGTCCCGGGGACACCCAGGGAGCTGGGACTGAGAGGGGGGAAGACAGCAGGGCAGGGGGTGGCACAGGGATTTCCCCCCAGAGGCCAATGTCAGGGTCAGCAGGGGTTCACATGGCCCCTGTAATGTGGGGATCAGCCCAGCTCTCCAGTCCCTGGGTCTGCCTCCTCCAAAGAGCTCTTCCATGTCCCTGCAGCAGAGCGGGGCTCCTTCTGCAGGAGAAGAACAGCCTCCTGAAAGCCTGCTTCTGCAGCATCTTCCACCTGCCTCCGCAGGGCAGCCAGGGACCCGAGGCTTGGCTCTACTGCAAGGTATGCCATGGTGTGAGCCACAGGGAGTTCCCTGTCCCGAGGCCCCTTCCTGGTCAGAGCAGGGCCACGGCTGCGCTGCTCCCCCAGGCTGCCAGGGCTGCCCTCGAGACCCCGCTCCCTTGCAGACCCTGTCAGCGATGGACAGCATGTTACAGGTGCTGGTGTGCAGTGCCAGCACCCTTGGCATCCAGGAGCTGCAGAACATCTTCAAGGTCTGGCCTTGGCACAGGGTCCCCCTGGGCAGTGACCTCTGGTTTGAGCATCCCCCCCCCAACAGCCCTTGCCTCCCGGCTGCTGCCAGAGCCCCTTCTCCTGCCCCAGCGCACCCAGGTCCTCACCCACTGCCTGTACTGCACAACCCTCCAGGCGCAGCTGCCTGTCTGGAAAGGGGAGCCCAGCCCTGGCGCTCTCCCCCTGCGGCTTCACAGGCCAAACCCCAGAGCCCCAGCACAGGTCCCCAGGGAGGGGTCACCCCAAAGCCTCCGGGTCTTCAGGGGCAGCGGGCAGAGGGAGGGACCTCTTCTGAGCAGCAGGGCGGCAGCAGCAGCAGTGGGATGGGACCCGCCTGGCCACAGCCCATTGCTGCGAGGGGCAAGGAGGACACGTGCCCCGTGTCAGGCACCGCCGGGGTGCTGCGCTGTGCCACCCCACCTTCTGGCACACCAACAGCCTTTCTCCTTCCAGCTCCTGCTGCCCTTCATCAGTTCGGGGGTGGCCGTGGTGCAGGAGAGGGCCGTGGCACGGATTGCCCGGCTGGCCAGCTACTTCAGCACCTACCCCCTGCCACAGGTACCGAGCTCCCGGTCTGGGGCAGCCCCAGTGCCCCAGCCCTGTGTCCGTGAGCCCCAGCAGCACCCGCTCTGCAGGAGCACATGAGCAGGGGCTCTGCCCCCCCCCCCCGGCCCTGCTCTTTCCTAGGGCACAGGCAGCAGCATGGGGCCAGCATCCCTGCCCTGCTTTGGGCTGCTCAGGGAGCGGCTGAGGCTCTCCTTGTGCCCAGGTGACCTTGTGCCCATCTTCTTCCAGTTCTGCTCCTGCTCTATGAGAGTCCCAGAGCTGCAACGTCAGTGCTGCAAGACTGTGGTGATGGGGAGGCTGGTGGGGCACCTCACGCTCTGCTGCACCTGCAAGAACACGGGCACCTGCCATGAGGCTGCAGAAGCTCTCTTTAAGATGTACTGCTTCACCCTGTGGCACATAAGTAAGAGAAGCTGTGTGGGGCTGGGTTCCCCTGGGCATGGGCAGCCAGGGGCCACTCTTCTTGGCAACAGAAAGCCAGATCCAACCTGCCCGCCCACAGCCAAAAGAGCCGTTTCCCCTCGCCCACACTTGCACTAGCCCTTGGCCTTCCCTGGGCTTTCTGGCCCTGTGTGGGTCCAGGCCTCTGGCCTCTCTTTGCCGGTGACTCTTCAGCCCAGTGCTCTCAGCTGCACCTCCAGCTTTGCACCCTCTCTCTGAGCGCTCTGTTTTTGCTGCTCCCCAGGCAGGTACCCTTGTCTGCTAAAGAGAAGGCAGCAGCAGTGCCAGCAGAGCTGGCAACAGGCGCACACCTGGGAGCTGTTGAAAACCACAGACACAAGACAGATGTTCTCGGTGAGAAGTGCCTTTGGCTCCTGGCTGGGGCTCAGTGTGACTGAAGGGACACCCGGTGCATGGGGGTGACGGGGCTCATGCTGTTCCTGAGCAGGGGCCAGGCAAAGGCCCCAGCGAGCTCGGCTTCCCCGCAGGACCCTGAGCCCCACCACTGGTCTCCTCCCAGCACGGCCTGGCTCTGCGTCCCGCGCTCGCTGCACAGCCAGGATGCTCTAGGTGACAAGTCCTCCCTCTCCTTCATCCCACAGATGTTTACAAAGTACCTCCAGCCCTCTGAGAGGTCAGATATCATCCTCATGGCCGTGAAGACCTTGACAAATCCAGGGGTCTACAGCATCGGCACGGCTGCCCACATGGTGGACATCCTTGTGACAGACAGTGACTTCCAGAGAGGGCAGGTGAGCAGCCTGTGGCGGCACGGCTGACGCACCAACCCTCCGGGGCCTGTTCGTGTCCCGGCTCTGTGCCTGGCCAGCACTGACACTATCTCAAGCTGGCATATCACACTGGGAATGGCAGCAGCACCCAGGTGGCGCGGGGAAACAGCCACGCTCACCCTGCTGATGCCACTCCCCGCTGCCACCCATGCGTCCCTTGCAGGTGCTGAACATCACGTGGGCCATTTACAGAAACCTGCCCTCCGTCAGCACAGAAATAGCCGGCAACAGCCTGAAGACGGCCCTGCTGATGCTGACACAAAAAAACCCCGGAGAGGTGGTGGCCAGCATGCTGCAGTGCTCGCCAACGTGCAGCAGGTATGGGGCCCAGCAGCCTTTGGCGCTCCTCTGCCCCTGGGACGGGGGCCCCAAGACCCTCCTGAGGGCCTTCAGCCTGCCCATCCTCCAGGGTGTCCTCGCTGACAGAGCCCCGTGTCCCTGCAGTGGCGCCATGGCCATGTGGAAGACGATGCTCTCTAAGCCCAAAGCTGCAAGGAAGGTGCTGGAGGAGCTGCTCAGGACAATGATGAATCAGTCGCTGCGCAAGGTCTCCGCCACCACCATGGACAACCCGCGCATGCTGTCCCTGGCCGTGAGTTGCTCGATGAGGCCTTGCTGTCTCCCGGGGCTCCCCCTCCTCTATCCCTGCCCACCCAAGCCCTGACCTCCCCAGGGATGAGAGGACGTCTCAGTTTCTGGGTGTCTTCTGCAGGCATGCAGGACGATACACAAAATCCTCGAGCAGTCCCTCTGCCCAAAGGAGGTGGAGGAGGTTTTCCCTAAGCTTTTCCTTGCACTGCTGTTCCAAGTGTCATTCACGACAGAGCTGAAGCAAAAGGAAATACTCATTTGCTGGAAGGAGTACCAGCAGGATCAGCTCACTCCCATCAGGTGCTCCATCCCTCTCCTCTCGTCCCTGCTGGCCACCCAGAATTAAGCCAGGGGTCCCGGTGGCAGCTGAGCATCTCTCCTTGCGCAGGTCAGCAGTGCAGTCCATGAGAGTGTTGCTCCGCACCATGGGCTTTCAGATCAGGGAGCTGGTCATCGAGGAGCAGGGTGGCTGGGCCAAGCTGCTCCATGTCGAGCACCACCTCGAGGGAGTGCGCATCGTGGCCAGGCGAGAGCCCCTTCTCCCCGCTCCTCGGGCACCGCGCACCCCGCAGCACCCACTCCCTTGGGGCTGACGGCGAGGGGGCCCCGCTGCTCAGAGAAAGTGCTGCAGACTGGTGCTGTCCAGGCTGCTGCAGACCCAAGGGAGATGAGCCTGCCCGGCTCAGGGCTGACAGTGCCTCCTTCCCCCTGCCAGGGAGATGATGAAGACCCCGAGAAGCCTGCACTGCACGCTGTTTGACGAGCTGGTGAATCTCCTTACTGTGGAGGACGCCATGTGGGAGATGGTCGCCATGGTCATGTTCACCGAGGTGAGCCCTGGGAGCTGGGGTGGCGGGTGGGCTTTGGCTGGTACCGTGGAGAAGCAGGCAACCAAACAGTGCAGTGTGCTGTGGGTCATGGGGGTTCTCTGCAGTCCCTGCCACCTCCGTCTGAGCTTGCTCTTGGCCCAGCATCCTTGCCTTGAGCTGATGGTTGGAGCCAGCACCGCACCTCACCAGCTCCTCCTGTGCGTTTCAGATGCTGAAGTGCAGAGCCATCAGTGATACTCTGGACTATGCCGTGGACATCTTCCCCATGTACCTGCAGAGCCAGTGCAGGGGGATGTCAAGACTGGTGCTCAAGAGTCTCTACGGGCTCTCCGAGAGGCCCGACACGGTGCGCAGGGGTCACTGGGGCAGCGGCACAGGGCACAGTGGTGCTGCTGGGTTAACAGTGCCTTCATCATTTCTGGGCATCGGGAGAAGTACCTGCTCTGTGCCTGCCCAGTCCAGCGCCCCATGGCTGTGCCCTGAAGGAAGAGAGGCAGTAGTGCCATGGGGAAGGGGCTACCATTGCTGGCACATCCCGACAGGGGTGATGGAAAGACAGCCACCAGCTTGAGCATGGGGGCTGCAAAGCCGGGCTGTGAGGTGCTGAGCCCTGGGGTGAAATGCAGCACTCGCAGCAGGGCCTGCGGCACCTCTGACAGCTTTCCAGGCAGTGCCAGGCACCCACCAGCCTGCCCAGGAGCTCTGCTGGAGAAGGGGCAGCCGAGGGGATGGCGAGGAGCCCGCGCTCTCTGTCCTTCCCCTCTGTGCCCTGCTCTTCCCCTGGCCATGCCAGCGAGCCCAGTTTGCTTGGCTCATGCTCGCCCTCATAACCTGTGCTGCCTGCCGAGGAGCCAGCGGGGAGGCCGGTGTTTGCAGAGAGGTTTTTCGCTCCTGCCGTCGGTCACTGCGTTACAAAAACGAGGTGGCATGTCCCACACAGGCAGAGAAAATCCTCACCCTGATGCCAAACATCGTGGCGTGCCTGGAGGATACTCGTGACAGTGGTGACATCTCCCTGGCCATGCTGGTGCTCAACAACTTACTCCCGCTGCTGGATGAGAACACACTCAGCCTCAGCGCCCTTGCCATCGCTCCCAAGCTCCGGTTGCTCTTTGACAACGTAAGGCTGGGGGAGAGACTTGTGCCCCTGCACCGCAGGCACCTCCATTCACACCTCCCATGCCCCACTGCCCTATCGCTGCCCTCCGCAGCTCTGTGCTGTCCCACACCCCCTCCCCGCATGGACTAAGCCTGGCTTGGCCTCCCTGCTGCAGGAGTTGGTGGTGGCAGGATGGCAGCAGGGCTGCTGAGCCTCAGCCGGCCCTGGCAGCATCTCCGAACCCGTCCGGGGTCTCCTGCTGTGTCCCCCAGCCCCGCTGGGCAGACGTTCTGCATGCTGCAGCTCGCTCCCTTTTGGAGGAGGCTGTTTTGGGAACATCCATCTCCACGTCAGCTCCCTGCTCGCCATGGGCTTGGGGCTGAGGTCCTTCTCCCGCAGGAGTCAGACACCGTGAGGGAGCTCTCCATCTGCTTATTCCAATACGTGATGGGGCTTGGGACGGATGCTGAAAAGGAGAAGATGAAGAAGGAGGTGTGGGAGAGTCTGCTGCCGCTGGTCTTTCACCTGCACGACCAGAAGGAGAATGTGGCCAAGGTGGGATTCCCAACCAGATGGGTCCTTTGGGCAGGGCGCTGGTGACACTGGAGCCTTCAAATGTGTGTCACCATGAGGTCTAGCTTGCTGAGGCCCTAGGACCAGCCAACCCCCCCCCTCACCCACTGCTGCCTTTCGCCTCCTGGATGATGAGGGTGGTGGGTCCCTTTCCCACCCACCTCCCTCCGCACAGTCCCTGCCCTGGGGCATGGGGCCCTGCGGCCCCAGAGACAAGGCTATTGCTCCACAGCAGCCTGGGGCCACCAAGGCCAAAAGCCTGTGGCCCCAAGGGGCTCCCAGGTAGAGAGGGTGGCTGGCCTTATCTTCTCCTGTGGTGCTGAGCCTGGTGGCAGCACCACAGCCCAACTCACGCGTCTTCCCTGCAGGGACCGGGACGGGCTCCCAGCCCTGCTAAGAGGGTGGACACAGGGTGCTGTGCCTCCAGGGCTGGTGGTGGCAGCTCTTCTCCTTCCCAGGCCGCCCAGGAAGCCCTCTACTTCGCTGGCTGGTTCTTGAAGTGGCAGGAGCTGACAGAGCTGGCTCTGACTGCGGAACCATGGGAGATCAGCGAGTGCCTGGTAAGCAGAGCCCCAGCGCTGCTGGGATCCGCACCGGGAGAGCCCTGCCCCATGCCCAGCAAGGAGGACACAGGGCTGTGTCCCGCACCTCTATGCACCTTCCTGGAGCAGGCTCTGTTCCAGGCTGTCCTCACCCCCAGGGTCCCAAGGGGGACCCTGCCACCAGAGTGGCACCCCAGCATCAGTGGCGAGCCCTGTGCTCCATCTGAATGCAAAGGCCACACGGTGGAGAGCTGGGAACGTCCTGCTGGGGGGAAGAAGGGTGGTCCTGGATGGGGGAACAGCCCAACCTGGGGGCAGCTCTGCGCCAACCCTGCACCCTTCTCTCTCCAGCTGGAGAGGAAGAGGAGGAAGACCAAGGACTTTCTGTACCAGAGTGAGGTCTACCTGCAGAGCCCACAGGAGACCCTGAGGCAGGACGCTGTCAGGTTCATCGGTGAGCCATGAGCCCCACGTCCCTCCCTCTGACAGGGTCCCTGCATCCCAGCGCAGGACCTGTGGAGCATCCCTTGGTCCCCTCTCAGCCACTCCTGCTTGCACACGTTGGGCTGGCAGGTGGCTCATCCCCTCCTCGACACAGTACCCCAGGGTCAGCCCTCCCTAGGGAGCTGTGTGGCCAGGGGGGCTGGCTGCTAGGGTCCTCGACAGGCAGCGGGTTCCTCAACACACTGCATCCCCCTAGGGCTCATCGGCCAGTACGTGGATGGGCGCAGGACGACGGAGTACATCAAACAGGGTGAGTGAGGGCAGTGGGGAGGAGGAAGGACTCTGGCACAGAACTGTCCCAGGCGAAGGGGGCTCTGCTGCCAGCGTGTCTATGGGGAGAGCGTGTTTGTGGAGGGGGTGTTCCTGACCAGCAGCCTCCAGGTAAGCCACCTGCCTCCCTCCCGGCCCTGGGCACCATGGGGTGTAAAGGTGCCCTGCCTGGAGGGGACGCAGGGCTGTCACCTCACCTCTCCTGCTTTGTCCCCACAGTCCTTGAAGGCCCAAGAAAAGACGCCAGCCCCCTGGTTTCCTCCTTGGCGACTCAGACCGTCCTCATGCTGGAAGAAAGAAGGAGGAGTTCAAGGCTTAGCCTACAGTGGCTGCGCTCATTGCTGCCGAGGGCATGGAGGAGGCGGCGCTCGGCCCCCAGCAGAGACTTGCGAAAACCTGGTGAAGTTCAATAAAGCAAAGCGCAAGGTCCTACACCTGGGGCACGGCAAGCCCAGGCACAGCAACAGGCTGGCTGGAGCACCCCCCATGCAAAGACAGGCTGAGACAGTTGAAGGTGGAGAAGAGAAGGCTACGTCGAGACCTCGGAGCAGCCTTCTAGCGTCTGAGGGGGCCTACAAGGGCATCCAAGTCCCTGACTCTTCATCAGGGACTGCAGCGATAGGACAAGGGGCAATGGGTTTAAACTTTTAAGAGGGGAAGAGCCCCCCCACCTCCCTCCAGCCTCCTTTCAGGCAGTCGTAGAGAGAGAGAAGGTCCCCCCTGAGCCTTCTCTTCTCTGGACTAAAGCCCCACCAAGCTCCCTCTGCTGTTTTACACTTTGCTCCAGGCCCTTCACCAGCTTTGCCACCCTTCTTTGGGCCCGCTCCAGCACCTCAATGTGCTGGAGGTACAGTAGTGAGGGGCCCAGAACTGAATGCAGGATTTGAGGTGCAGCCTTACCAGTTCCCAGTACGGGGGGGACAGTGACTGGCCTGGCCCTGCTGGCCACGCTATTGCTGACAGAAGCTTGTTCAGCTCCACCAGTTAGCACCCCCAGGTCCTTTTCCATGAGTAGCTTTCCAGCCACTCTTCCCCAGGCCTGGAGCGTTCCATGGGGTTGCTGTGACCCAAATGCAGGACCCGGTACTTTGCCTTGTTGAACCTCACACCACTGGCCACAGCCATTTATCCAGCTGGCCAGCTCCCTCTGCAGAGCCCTCCTCTTTTCCAGCAGATCAACACTCCCACCCAACCTCGTGTCATCAGCAAACTGACTGAGGGTGCCCTCGATCCCCTCATCCAGATCATCAGCGAAGATATTAAACAACACTGGCCCAAACACTGAGCCCTGAGGGACACCGCGAGTGACCGCTCACCAACTGGATGCAACACCGGTTACCACCACTCTTTGGGCTCGCCCATCCAGCCAGTTTCCAACCCAAGTGAAGAGCACCCCTACCCAGGCCATGAGCAGCCAGTGCCCCCAGGAGAACACTGTGGGAGGAGACACTGTCAAATGCTTCATTAAACTACAAAGGGACAATGCCTAGAGCCTTTGCCTCATCAATCCGGCGGGTCACCTTGTCATAGGAGGAGATCAGGTTGGTCAAGCAGGACCTGCCCTTCGTCAGCCCATGCTGTCTGTGCCTGATCCTCCCGTTTTCCCGCTTGTGCTGTGTGATCTCCCTTAGGATCATCTGCTCCATGACCTTCCCCGGCACTGAGCTCACGCGCACAGGCCTGGAGGTGCCCTCCTCACCGTAGCAAGGCATGTAGATAATGCCCATCGCTAGGACATTAGGGCTACAGAAGACAAGTAAGATGTGCTCCCCAATTTGGGCATGGAGGATCTCATCCATCCTTATGTGTGCCCTGTAAACATGTGTCTGGGTCCATGGGGTGCAAGGGAAGGGCCACTGCTGTCTGCATTACTTAAGTGCACCACGGATGCTCCAAAGCATCCCCGTGCTTGGGGGCAGGAGACCTGCAGACCTTCCTGTAGGTCCCTGAGCAAAATGGAGTCACGCAGCAAAAGAATTTGTAAAGGTAAAAGAAAAAAAAGGGGGGGGCACTGATATGAGAAAAGCTAGTTCATCAAGGAAGCTAGAGACATCAGTTCTTCAGCTGTAAGAAAGATGCTTAAGCTGTGTCACAGGCTACATAAACTGCTGTAGGAAAAAGAAACACTAACAGATCTTTTAACGTCACAGCAGAAACCAAAAGCTTTTTCAGCAGCTCTTAAGAGAGTTCAAACTACATTACATACAACAGGGCTGCTCAGCAGACTCAAAACCGATCTAAAGCTGCCTGTTTAAGCTGGCTGGAACGGACATCTTCAGTGCGAGTAGCTTTTTTTTAATGAAAAAAGGTAGGAGAAGCTGAAAAATATGTACACAACTGGAAGTACCAAAGTAACAGTGACTTAAAAGAACACTTGTAGTTCCAAGATGCTAGCTCCTAGTTTAAAGATGAATCCATAATTGAACTTTGTCATAAATTACGCTACAGTTATTTGCACAACTATAGACCTACAATATGAATATCTTAGAAGCAAAAACTGTTCCAAAATGTTCTGTGTAACATCTAACTGGGCTGCCTCATTGTACGCGGGAGTCAACACCTTATCAACCAGGGGAAGGAGGTGGGCAAGTAGTAGGGGGGGGGAAGAAGAAAAAAACCTGCCTCTCCTCCAGTAAAAGCAGTAAAGGCAGGTAGTTTAAAATCCCCTCTTACGGAACGCATCCAAGCACGCATGAAAAAAGACTATTCAGACTGCTCCGTGCGAAAGAAGCTGGTTAACATTCATCTGACCTCTGTTACTTAACAGAGGCAGTTTAAACCCTGTTAGGATTCAAAATGGCAGGACCAGCACACTGGAGGGGGGCGCTATGATGCAGCTTTGCACAAAATGGCAGCAGCACTACCACAGCCCGACTGACGCAAAGCCGGTGCATGAACAGCAAAGCCCCCTTCTGCTTACTTACATCGTTCTCTGTAACCGTAATGGGGAGGCCACGTAACATGATAGTTTTGCTTTCTTTCTCATCGTTAATGTCGTTCCTGTAGTCGTGCTCTCCATAGTCGCCATCAGAATGGTATCCATCTTCCGATTTGTCACTGTTCCTGCGCTCCCGTTCCCTCTGAGAACCCAGCACCCAGAATTAACCACCGCCGATTTCTAGTGATGCGCGGATTGACTCCACAACTCGTTCAAGTTGTGAAGTAGGTTTGCTTTTATTCAGCGCTGAGACGCACGGGGATAATTCCTCAAAGTCATGTGTACCTCAGTGTTGTTTCCCTCTACATTTATTCTCTAAAGTTATATATATTCATGAGGTTGCACAACACGCCTATACATATTCATGTCCTATCCCCGCTTCGTATTATAATAAGCCAGAAGGTCCTCTGCACCTGCGCAGTGCCCCCTCTGGTCATGGGCAGGGGTCTCAAGATGAAGTAACTGAGTCTTCCTCCTGTGGGTAGGGGTCTTCAAGATGAAGTAACTGAGTCTTCCTCTTCTTGCACTTTTCACCTTTCAGTCTTCACATATGGCCTTAGGGTTTGGTCGGTGTCCCAGCCATAAACCATCTGCTTCTCCCCCTTATCAGCAGATTCAGGCCTCTGCTTTTCCTTATCAATAGCTGCTTATCAATAGGATCAAGTGTCTGCATTTCCTTATCAATAGCTGCTTATCAATAGGACCAAGTGTCTGCTTTTCCTTATCAATAGGACCAGGTGCCTTTGTTCTGCTTAGCAGGCATTTACAACAGACAATACTTTTGTTTAAGCAAGCAAATTTCTCTAACCCCCTTGTACAACCCCCCTGTACAACCCCCCTGTACACTGGTCAACTCTCTGCATCACAAAGGGTATGATAAGTGTCCCTGTCAATACCACAGTGAGGAGGAAGAAGAAACAAGGGAGTAATTCCCCTGGGTCAACCACAATATTGTGCATAGAAATGTTTTGTTCATTGTTTAAACTGCATGAATATGCTTGTTGGGGGGGGTAGGTAACTTAGAGATATGTCCTGTTACAGAACGTTGTGAAATCTGTGCGCTGAACAAACCCCATCACGAGTGGAACTTACGGGGGCTAAGATGGCGGTCAGACTTGTTACAGACACAGTATTTCTTCACCCGGAGACAAGACCCCAGCTACAGGTGGAGAAGCCCGGGAAAAGAAGACAACAGGCTTGGCTGAAACCCGAGAAGCCCGGGAAATGAAGACAACAGGATTGGCTGAAGCCCAAAAAGCCCGGGAAACCAAAAGGTAGAAGAGACTGTCCCCAGAAGTTCCCGGTGTGTCTGGGGTGCAGCAGAGGCTACCTGGTGAGCCCAGTGCCGGAAACGAGAACAGCCAAGATCAATACCCAAGGTTTCAGGATCTGGGAATTGAGACAGGAAACAGACAAAAAAAAAAAAAAAAAAAGGAAGAAGTAATGCCTGCCTATGCTTTACAACTTGTCAGTAAGAACTCTTTGTCTACCCACTTTGAGCTAGTAATCTTGCTTCCGTGTCGTGTCCTGTACTTGTACTTCTTGCATTTGTATGGAAAAAAGTTAAATCTTAGTGGGTTTTGATATTTCTTGCTGTATGATGCTCCACGTGTATCTTAGCTTGCTTCTTCAAATGCATTATACAAAAATCTGAGATAAGTAAAGGTACCACCTTAGTAGTAGGTAAAAAAGAGGAACCCTTTAGGGTCCCTGTTATCAAAAACGTAGAAATAGAATCTGAAAAGAAAATTTGTATAGGAGATTTTCTGCTAGTGGAGGAGGCAGAGAATAACCTATTAGGATGAGATTTAATTACAAAGTTAGGAATAGAGGTGGAAAAGGGAGCGATTGCTGTAAACTTGTATCAATTAACAGAAAAGGATTAACAGATTAATTTAAAAGTCTGGTATAATAAGGGAGAAATAAGAAAATTAGATATTGAACCGTTGGAAGTGGAAATAACCCCAAAAGAGCCCATTAGGGTCAGAAAATACTTGATCTCCTTGGAAGGAAGGAAAGGATTGAAACCAATAATTGAAGAATTAGTACAGAAAGGAACCTTAGAACCCTGTATGTCACCGCATAACACTCCGCTTTTACTGGTCAGGAAATCAGATGGGAGCTATCGGCTAGTTCCAGATTTCAGAGTGTATTTGGGTGATTCGGGTGTATTTTGGGCTGGTTTGGGGCTCTTTGAGGCTGTTGGGGCTGTTCCGGGGTCTGGCCGCTTCCCCCCGAAGCGCTGGTGCTGGCCGCGGCCCGGGACGGCTCCAGCGGGGGGGAGCTGCGCTTGGCCGCCGTCACGGCGGAGGGCGTGGAGCGGAGCATACTAACGGGCGCAGCTGCCGGGGGGGGGAAAGCGGGCCCCTGCACTGAGCGCGGGGAGATCCCGCGGCGGAACAGTCCGAAGCGGGGGAGCTGGAATAAAGGTCGTGGGGGAGAAAAATATGGGAAGAAAGGGGTTTGATAAATACACAAGGGTTAATACATGAGGAATTAGAACTATGCCAGATTCGGCAACTGGAATCTCACCTTTTGAGATGCTATATGGAATGCCCTACACTCAAGGGCTACCAGTAAGTCACCCCAAACTGGAAGATACGACTATCCAACGCTATATCACTATTTTGAATGAAAACATGCAAGAACTCAGAGCCAGAGGAATGCTAGCTCAGGCGCAGCTGCCTGTCTGGAAAGGGGAGCCCAGCCCTGGCGCTCTCCCCCTGCGGCTTCACGGGCCGTACCCCAGAGCCCCAGCACAGGTCCCCAGGGAGGGGTCACCCCAAAGCCTCCGGGTCTTCAGGGGCAGCGGGCAGAGGGAGGGACCTCTTCTGAGCAGCAGGGCGGCAGCAGCAGCAGTGGGATGGGACCCGCCTGGCCACAGCCCATTGCTGCGAGGGGCAAGGAGGACACGTGCCCCGTGTCAGGCACCGCCGGGGTGCTGCGCTGTGCCACCCCACCTTCTGGCACACCAACAGCCTTTCTCCTTCCAGCTCCTGCTGCCCTTCATCAGTTCGGGGGTGGCCGTGGTGCAGGAGAGGGCCGTGGCACGGATTGCCCGGCTGGCCAGCTACTTCAGCACCTACCCCCTGCCACAGGTACCGAGCTCCCGGTCTGGGGCAGCCCCAGTGCCCCAGCCCTGTGTCCGTGAGCCCCAGCAGCACCCGCTCTGCAGGAGCACATGAGCAGGGGCTCTGCCCCCCCCCCCCCCCCCCCCCGGCCCTGCTCTTTCCTAGGGCACAGGCAGCAGCATGGGGCCAGCATCCCTGCCCTGCTTTGGGCTGCTCAGGGAGCGGCTGAGGCTCTCCTTGTGCCCAGGTGACCTTGTGCCCATCTTCTTCCAGTTCTGCTCCTGCTCTATGAGAGTCCCAGAGCTGCAACGTCAGTGCTGCAAGACTGTGGTGATGGGGAGGCTGGTGGGGCACCTCACGCTCTGCTGCACCTGCAAGAACACGGGCACCTGCCATGAGGCTGCAGAAGCTCTCTTTAAGATGTACTGCTTCACCCTGTGGCACATAAGTAAGAGAAGCTGTGTGGGGCTGGGTTCCCCCGGGCATGGGCAGCCAGGGGCCACTCTTCTTGGCAACAGAAAGCCAGATCCAACCTGCCCGCCCACAGCCAAAAGAGCCGTTTCCCCTCGCCCACACTTGCACTAGCCCTTGGCCTTCCCTGGGCTTTCTGGCCCTGTGTGGGTCCAGGCCTCTGGCCTCTCTTTGCCGGTGACTCTTCAGCCCAGTGCTCTCAGCTGCACCTCCAGCTTTGCACCCTCTCTCTGAGCGCTCTGTTTTTGCTGCTCCCCAGGCAGGTACCCTTGTCTGCTAAAGAGAAGGCAGCAGCAGTGCCAGCAGAGCTGGCAACAGGCGCACACCTGGGAGCTGTTGAAAACCACAGACACAAGACAGATGTTCTCGGTGAGAAGTGCCTTTGGCTCCTGGCTGGGGCTCAGTGTGACTGAAGGGACACCCGGTGCATGGGGGTGACGGGGCTCATGCTGTTCCTGAGCAGGGGCCAGGCAAAGGCCCCAGCGAGCTCGGCTTCCCCGCAGGACCCTGAGCCCCACCACTGGTCTCCTCCCAGCACGGCCTGGCTCTGCGTCCCGCGCTCGCTGCACAGCCAGGATGCTCTAGGTGACAAGTCCTCCCTCTCCTTCATCCCGCAGATGTTTACAAAGTACCTCCAGCCCTCTGAGAGGTCAGATATCATCCTCATGGCCGTGAAGACCTTGACAAATCCAGGGGTCTACAGCATCGGCACGGCTGCCCACATGGTGGACATCCTTGTGACAGACAGTGACTTCCAGAGAGGGCAGGTGAGCAGCCTGTGGCGGCACGGCTGACGCACCAACCCTCCGGGGCCTGTTCGTGTCCCTGGTCCCCCCTTGCTGAGCCCCTCTGGCTGCTAGGAGCCAGCAGCTGCCTGTGGGACTGCCACAGTGCAAGCAGTGCCGGGAGTGACAGCTGGTGCCATCCGCAGCTGGCGGGATGCAGGCAAACAGTGTGAGGAGCGGGTGACAGTGTGGGAAAGGGGAGCGTGGCCTCACACAGAGCCAGTGGTCCCATTCTTCTGTGGGAGCTGCACCCTGGGAGAGGAGGAGACCACCCACCTCCACAGGAACAGAGGTGAGCTGGGTCCTCTCCCTAGCCCCAGAGTGCCCCTTGGAGGGAGCAAGGAGCAATGATGGGGCAGGCGGGTTTGTGCTGTCCCTCTTCAAGGGGTGCTGGTGCGGTTGGTGCAGGGGGATGGCACAGCCTGGCACGGGTACATGCAGGTCCTGGCAGTGCCATCTGTGGCCAGGCTGGGACAGCTCAGATGCCAGCCCAGCAGTAAGCAGGGTGCCACGACCTCGCCTGGCACTTCTCCCTGCTCCAGCATCTTGGAGGGGTTCAGGTCATCTCCAGGTTTCTCTGTGGCTCTCATTCATTTTGGCTCTCCTTTACACCCTACCCCTCCCCTCAACAGGCAAGGAGAAGATGGTGGCCATGGTTGTGGTGGGGTTTCTCTTTAATGGATGCCAGAAATGAGCCCTTGATGCCCAGGCACCAGAGCTGCTGGCGTAGCCCTCAGTGGGGATGGCAAGCCAAACGGGGCTGAACACCACGGACAGCCTAAAGCTGCTTCCTGTCCCTGAGCAGTCCATTGCCCAGCAGGTGGTGGGCCTCCTCTGCATGGTCCTGCTCACACTCACTGCCCTGGTGGCCAACACTGTGGTGATGGTTGTCATTCTCAAAACCCCGCTTCTCAGGAAGTTCATCTTTGTTGGCCACCTCTGCATGGTTGACCTCCTCTCGGCCATTTTCCTCATGCCTGTGGGAATCATCTCCAGCTCCTCCTGCTTCAGCAGGGTAGTCTACAGCATTGCCGAGTGCCAGGGCTTGATATTCCTGAATGTCTGATTCATCAGTGCCTCCATCCTCACCATTGCCATCATCAGCGTGGAGCGGTACTACTACATCGTCCACCCCATGAGGTATGAGGTCAAGATGACCATCAGGCTGGCAGTGGCAGGAGTGATCATCATTTGGGTCAAGTCTGTTCTCGTCACTGTCTTGGCAATAGTAGGCTGGCCTCAAGGCAACGGGGCCACCAGTGCCAGTCGCTGCACAGTTTACTGGAGCCCTGGGGCCCACAAGAAGGCTTTCCTGATCATCTTCAGCATTGCCTGCTTTGTTCTGCCCACCATCATCATCTTCGCTGTCTATAGCAGTGTCTACCGTGTGGCCCGGATGGCATCCCAGCAGCACGCGCCTGTGCCGGCACAGGCGGTTGCACCAAGACACCGATCTGACTCCATCGCCAGCCTAGTGGCCATCATCATCACCAGGAACCTGCCGGTGCCCAGACTGGCGCCAGAGCGCTTTTTGGGAAGCAACAAGGCCATCCTCACCTTGGTCCTCATTGTGGGACAGTTCTTGTGCTGCTGGCTGCCCTTTTTTGCTTTCCACCTGCACTCCTCTGTGGCTGCTGGCACGGAGGCTGCAGGGCACGGGGAGATGGTGGTCACATGGATTGCCTACTCCTCCTTTGCCATCAATCCCTTCTTCTACGGGTTGCTGAACCGCCAGATCCGGGAGGAGCTGGCCCGGCTCCGGCGCAGCTGCTTCAACCAGCCGCTGGGCCAGGAGCTCTGTCTTTCCATCTCCGAGGCTTCTGTCCAGGAAAACTTCTTGCAGTTTCTCCAGAGAGCAACTTGCACACTGGAGACCCATGCCAGCTGCATCAGCCCCAGCCCCAGGGACAGGCTGGACCAGACCAAGGTGAACTTCCCCATCCCAGGTCAAGTTCCTGAAGAGAGCAGCTGAGAAGCAGGAGGCCCTGTCCCATTGTGCTGGGCAGGAGGATGGGCAGGGAACCTGCCAGGGACCCACTGGACCTGCTTTGATCCAGCTTCTCAGATTTGGAGGGGTCCTTGTTCAGGTTTTGCCTCTTCTCTGAGCTTATGGTAGAAGACGGTTTCTCCATTCAGGAGAAGGAAGATCTGGGGAAGCCTCATCTCCCTTCCACAGGCTGGGATTGACTCTGGCTCCACCAGCACAGGCTAGTTGCATGGACCCTTCTCAAGACACAGGGTGCCAAGGGGCTCCTGTGCAGAGGCAGATGAGAGGGCACCTCCATCTCCATCACCTTGCTGGGACCACTTGTGGCCAGCGGGGAAGAGCAGATGTCCCTTGTACCCTACCCAGGAGCAATGGACCAACTAACACCACTAACACCAGTAATCCCCACTGAGCCTGGACAGCTGTCATGGAGCCTTCCCTCCCTGGCTGCTTAACCCAAAACTAACTTCTGGGTAAAGGAGCTCCTGTCACTGATGGCACTTACCAGTGGGACAGCACCCTTGGGGCTGGCTCTGGCCATGTCTGTGTTTATCCTGCTGGCATGGCAGCATGTGATGTCTGTAACTATGGCCTCCATGGGGAATGCTGGGCAGCCGGGGCCAGTGTGTTTATGGACACAGCTGCCCCACTGAAGCCCAGCCAGTGGTGCCACATGCCAGCCAAACTGGGCTGCTGGCCAGTGGTGGACGTGGTGGCACAGGGTGATGGTGGGGCCATGTGGGGCTCCCCTAGGCAACAGCAGTGGAAGAGGACCAGGAGCTGCTTTCCCCTTCCAGTCTCATTGCTTCTGGGGACCCTCCCATGGGGTCCCCAGCACAAGAAAGGGGATTGGACACTGTTGGGGAATGCTGGAGGCATCACTCCCAGCCCACTACAAAGGGCCCAGGAATGGTGCTGGTTGGAGATGCCCCTGCCCCAGTAATAACTGGTGGGCTGGAAGAGAACTGCCCCATGGCCTCTCAAACTGTCGCATGGGGCTCCGGGAAGACTCCCAGAGAGGCTGGGGCTGCGAGTCAGGGGCATCCCCCTGGCCACAGAGATGCCCTTCCAGCCACCACCCCAGGAGCTGGTTCTGCCCCTTGTGTTGGGGGTGTCTCCACCCTGGGTGGGGGATGTTGTTACTTGTTTTCTTGTAAATTTTATCTTTTTATTAAACCATTGAAAAGTTACAAAGGAGGAAAAAATATAGACTTATATATACAGCATTTTCAAGCCAGCAGGGACTGGCTCTTGGATGGGTATGCTGGGAGGCAATTGCCCCAGGGTGCCCCCCGCCCACCAGAGCCAGAGGAAGGGGGACCCCCACAGAGGCAGTCAACCCCTCATCCAATGGGACCCAGCATTTGGGTGCCAGCTTGAGGGTGGGCAGGGCGAGGGGCAGGTGGTGGGGGTCCCACCCTGGCACTGGGCACTGAGAGAAGGGGACTACAGGCCAGCAGGGACAGCTGCGCACCCCCCAGTACCAGGGCACGTGGTCCCCGCGGAGGAGAACCGAGGAGGGGGACACAGCACTGCCGGGGTGGGCAGCAGGCAGCAGAGCAGCCTTTTCCTCCGTGGACATCTGCCAGGAGGACCCCTCCCCAGGGCAGGGGGCAAAGGGTCCACTCTGGCCATGGGGTGCCTGGCAGGGGCTGGGGACAGGGTGGGCATCAGGGGGTGTCTCTGGCACTGGGGGGCACCCCGGCCCCCCTCACCCACCTGCTGGCAGGGCTCAGTAGGGTGAGAACTTCTGCCGGTCGGCTCGCTTGGTGCCATTGGCAGCCGAGATCTTGGTCGTGTGGGTGGCAGTGCCGCCGTTGGGACCCGCCACAGAGGACGGGGACAGCGCCAGGAAGGACATCGGCTTCAGGCCGATGAAGTTGGAGAGGGAGATGGTGTAGGGGGTGCCCAGCAGGGCTGGGTGGGCAGGGGCAACTGTGGGCAGCGCTGCACCAGAGCCCGGGGTGAGGGGCTGGTTGAAGCTCACGCCGAGGTCCATGGAGCCAGGGCCTGGCGGCACCTGGGAGGTAGATTTGGCCGTCTCTAAGCTGGGGAACCAAAGGTGGTGATGAAGTGGTGAGGACCACAGTGACAGAGCAGGTCCTTCACCCCAACCTGCCCATCTTAGGATGCAGGGACTGCGTGCCCCATCCTGTCTGGCACTGGTCTTCAACCTGGGCATCCTGCTGAGGAGGGCTAAAAATCTGGTGCTCAAACCCTGTGGGATCTAGGGTCCTGCACCCAAAATCTTGGGACCTCAAAGCACTGCCCAGCTCATCCTTCCTGAAGATGCTGGGGGGGCAGTGTCCCCCCAGAGCTGCATTGGGGTGCTGGGGAAGTGCACCTAGTACCTACCAGGTTGTGATGAGGTACTGAGCCAGGGTGATGCTGACGGGGGACCCCGTGATGGTGATGTGCCGCTCGCTGGAGCCCTCAGTTTGGTTCCCAATCTTGATGTGGGCACCTGACATCTGACGGATCTCACTGATCTTGCTGCCGTGTCGGCCAATGATGCAGCCGATGAGCTGGAGGGGCAGAGGCTGGAGTGAGCTGGGAGCAGCTGGAGGGGCCATGCCAACCGGGGAGCTCCCAGGGGCTCACTGGCCACTTTCTATGTCTGGGAGTACTGGGGAAACTGAGGCAGGCACCGGGAGGGCAGGGTGCTGCTTTCCTTGGGCAGACCCTGCTTTTTTGCTCTCACTCAAGGCCCTCCCTGGCTGGCATCACTGGGCTGACACATCCAGGGCTATTCCTTGGTGTTGGCCAAGCCCTTTCCCCCTTCCCATGCCTTAGTTTCCCTTCCGGCTGCTTCTGCCCCTGAAGCATCTCCTGAGCTCTGACAGTCAAGGTAGAGCCTCCCCTGTGTGGGCCAGTTCTGGCCCCTGCAAAGTGGCTGTGGGGTGGGACACATGGATGGGGACAAGCTGTGGTCCCCGTCACCATCCCAGAACATACACGTACGTCATTGGGTACGAGGAACTCCTGGGAACTGCACTGGGAGCTGGTATCCAGGCCTGTAGAAAGAGATAGGGATGTTAGTGGAGGATGGTGGGTCTCCAGCAGCTCTGTGCCTCTACCCCAGCCCCATGCTGGGACAGTCAATGTTCCTGGGGACAAACTTGAAGGATCCCTGGGGAGATGCGTAACTTGGTGCTGGTGCTCCCCCACGGCAGGGTTGGGGGTCTCTGACGGGTGCAGGAACCCCAAGAAATCAAGGACAGGGTCATTCAAGGGGCAGGTAACCATGCTGGGGGGCTGGGACCAGAGAGGGTGCAGGGGATGGGGACCCCTTCATCAGGGCTAGGTGGCTGAGGGGATCAGGAGGGGCACCTCACACCCCAGCCCTGGAGGGGCACAGAAGATGCTCACCCGGCACCATGGTGGGTGCGTGGCCCAGGGAAGTAAAGGGAAGCGAGTGCCCTGAGAGCTGCTGCAGCTTCGTCACCTGCGGGAAGCAGGAGCAAGAGGAAGGAGGTGTTATTCTCTATCGACTCCTGGGGCTGGGGGCTGGCACCCAGCACCTCCCAGGACAGGCATCCCTGGCAGGAACAGGCACAGTGCCCATGGGATCAGGGATGTGCTGCCACAGGGACAGACTCACCTCTGCAGGAGAGACCCCGCTGTACTGGCCCTGCATGGGGAAGCTCTGGGGGGGAGGAAAGGGGCATCAGTAGGGGGCCGGGTGGTGCCCCTGCCTCAGGCCTCACCCCATGGCAGGGAGGCCACCCCAAGCCCACTGGAGTTGCCCTGCTGGGCAGAAGCTGAGCCCCCTGGTCACCCTGTGCCTGGGGTGGGGGGGGGGGGGGCTGCAGCCCCTTACCTGGTTGGCAGAGAGCAGGATGGTGCCCAAGGAGAGGCCAGGGTGGTAGGGGATGGTGGCTCCCTTTGGAGGTGACTGGAGGGGGAGGGAAGGAGGTGGAGGGGATAAGAGATGAGGTTGAATGTCTCCATTGCCCCACAGGTGCCCCTGAACCCCCTCTGCCAACCCCATGCCCCCAGCAAGCTGGGCACAGCCCTCAGCACCACTGAGGCATCGTGTTCTATGGACTTCTGTGCAGAGGGATGCCCGTGCCTGGGTCTAGGTGGGCAAGGGAAGCCCTGGTGAGGGGGGATCAGGCAGCATGTGCCCCCTTGGGCTGTGCTCAGTGGGTACCTCCAGGATGACGGCGCAGATCTGCCTCACGCACTGGATGATGGTGTCTGGCACCCCCGAGACAGTGACGGCCCGTTCGGTGGAGTTGGGCAGCAGGTCAGCAGCCACCTGCACCTGTGCCCCTGAGCTCTGAGGGGCAAAGGGAGACGCTGGGGTCCCTCAGCCATTCCACCCCCAGGGCTCAGCACCTCCCACCTCCCCTGTACCCTCGTGGACTCCCAGGGAGCTTTGCAGGACCCGCAGGGTGATGCTCCAATCCTGCATCATCTCCCACAGCCCCTGAGGGACCACGGCAGCCCCTGTTCCAAGGGCTCTGTGCTCCCTGGGGGAAAAGGGGAGCCCACACCTGGAGCACCCACAGCCTCACCTCCCGGATCTCCCGGATCTTGGCTCCTGCCTTGCCAATGAGTGAGCCACACTGGCTGGCTGGGATGACCAGGCGCAGCGTCACCGGTGCTCTGCCTGCTGCTGCCCCATCACACCCTGCTCCCAGGTCCTGCGAGGAAATGGGGATGCAGTGTTGGACCCCCAGGAGCACACAGGTGCGGCGATACCGGGTGGGATTGTGGGGTCTGCCTACCTCCTTCAGCTTGAAGGCTATCATGGAAACAGCACGGAAGACAGCGTTGGTGGAGCCGGTGATGGTGGTGATGCGCTCGGGGCAGGACCCCTCCGAGATGGTGATGCGTGCGCTGCTCTGGGGACAGTGTCACACTCCATCAGGGATGGCGTGGGCCCTGTGCTCCATGTTCCCCCACCCAAGGAAGGGCTCACCATGGCGGGGCTCAATGCCTGTGGACCTGGGCTTTCCCCTTCCCACCTGCAGCCTTCCTGGGAATGAAGCTGCATTTCCCCTGGGTCCATCCAGGACTGGGGGGCAGGGCTGGGCTAGTGGGAGCCATCAGGTGTGTGCAGGACAGGCATCAGGACTGGCAGCCCCCCAACATGCCCTTACCTGCTCTCGTATCCTCTTAACAGTCTCTCCTTTCTGCAGGGAGAGGAACAGGGCAGGTGGTCAGGTCCAGGGAAGCCCAGGGCTGGTGGTGCCCTGGACCCCAAATCTTACCTTGCCAATGATGCTGCCGATCTCCTGCAAAGGCAGAAACGAGGGTGGCCCCATCAGCAGGCAGCTCCCTGCCTGCCACATCCCTCCTCTGCCCATAAGGAAACAGGCAGGCCCTGCCCCATGGCCACTGGCAGCCTGGTGACACTGGGCCATGGGAAAGGCCCCTCCCCAGCTTAGGATGTGGGAAGAAACCCTTCTTGGAATGTAGGGGAAGAAACCAGGCTCTGGTGAGGAGCAGCATGGTCCCTCACCCTGGGCACTGCTGACCCCCCTGAGCAGAGCCAAGCTTCCCTGCTGTTACCTTGCCATGCATGAGCATGCGGAGGGTCAGGGTGATGCTGAGCTCCGTCTCTTCGGGGCTGCTGCCCAGGCTGCTGGCTGTGTCCTGCGATGCCATGGCAGGAGGGTGAGCTGAGCCTGCGGGACATGGCAGTTCCAGAAAGCTGGAGGCCCCAGCTACCCCTCCCCTAAATCTGCAGCCTGAAAAGCACCCAAGGCCGGGAAGCAGGGAAACTGAGGCAGGGCAGTGCTGTACCCTCCTCTGGCGGGGGAGGCTTGCACAACCCCGTGGTACCCCATTGGCACCCTGCACACCTTCCGGGAGCTCCCCAAAAGGGACTCACTGCTGTGTCTGCCTGAGCCTGCAGGCAGCTGTCTTCAGCCTGGCCCATGCTGGGCCTGGGCTGGAGCTGGCACTGCACCTGCATGAAGCCAGGAGCTGGGTGGATAATGGGAGGGAAAGGGGATGCTGTGGGATGGGGTTTAGTTTGCAAATGTTTGCTGGGATAGTGGCACACAGGGCAGGGGGGGCAGAGGTGGCCTGAGTCATCTCACAGGCCACGTGAGCCTTCCTCTTCCTCCTCCTCCCTTCTGTCCATGCACAAAGCCCCAGGGGAAACTGAGGCAACCTCCAGGATGGAGATCCCGAACCCAGCGCCCGAACGGAGTGATGCCAACACACGATGCCGCTGCACCCTGTCGTCGTCGTCGTCCCACCCCCCGAGCACCCCAGGGCCACCCCTCGGCTCCTGTGTGCTGTGCCCGGGGGTGGCCGCGGCCCCGGGTGCCGGCCCCGAGGACAATCGCCGTGTGTCCGAGCAGGGGTGGGCGGCTGCGGCATCGCTGGCTCCCGGAGGGCCGGGCAATGCCAAGCAGCTTGGAAACAAAGCACCCGTGTTGGGGCTGGGGCCGTGTCTGCGGGCACGGCGGGGGGGTGGAGGGGAGGTTATTTTAGGTGCTGGCAGGACTCGCCGCTGCTACGGCACATCTCCTGCATCAGGGTGAGGGGGGCGAGGGACAGGTTGGGTGCTCCGCACCCCCGAAGTGCCACGGTTTGCACCCCGCGGGATGGTTTGGATGCTGCATCTTCATCCCCCTGTTACCAGCAGCTGAGGAATGGCTGGGGAAGGGCGATATTGCTGTTCCCGATGGAGGGGAGGCTGAGATAGGGTGTGCTGAGGGGTGTACCCCCCTGTAATCCGCCTTCCCGAAGCCTTGCGTGGTGCCGGCAGGGGCGGGCAGCCTCCGGGGTCCCCCGAACCCCCGGGATGAACGGCAGCGAAGACAAAAGATCCCGCCGGAAAGACAAGGATGAGGCTGGCAGTGGGGCAGGGGAAAGGCAGGAGGGCAATGGGTGCCCCTCACGGCCATAGGCAATGTGGGGGCTCCGCGGGCAGGGGGGTGCTGTCCCCCAGGTGAGCCATGGCAGGGATGCCAAAGACCGCGGTGATGGGCACAGGCCATTTGCCCCCGTCGGGACAGCCACAGGCTGGGCACCGCCCGTCCTATGGGGCACCTTCTGGTGGCAAAGGGAGGTGAGGGGTTTGAGGATACACAGGAGGAAGACCCCAGCCCGTCCCCGGGGGATCCTCTCTCCACTCGCCCTCCCGGCCGCCCCGAGCCCCCGGGCCTGGGGGGTGGGTACCTTTCCGTGCTCCTCGTCCCTCCGCCGCCGGCCACCCCGCTCAGTGCCACATTGTCCCCGGCGGCGCCCAGTGGCACCCGGGGCAGGAACAATGAGCCGCTTGACAGGCCAGGGCCAGGCTGGCAGCCCCGGCCCCCACCCCGGTCCACGCCGGGGCCCCCCTCGCTCTTCCCCTCTCCCACATCCCTCCCTCCGGGATCCTATTACAGCGGATAAGAGGCACTAAAAGGAACAATGCACCCTGGGTAAGGCCATCTGCCACCGCTGGGGACATTCCTGCCCCCAACGCCCCCCCCCCCTTTGGCTCACACATCACCCCTCTTTGTAATTGCGTGTTTTTTTTTCCTGGAAGCCGATCAGCTGGCAGGGATCGAGGGCTCAAGGACACCGGAGCGGGCAGGGACAGGGCAGCTGGCACCCCAGAGCCCTCCGGCACTGGGGGCTGTGCTTGGACGGCTAGAAGCACCCCTGTATGGGAGGCTGGTCTCCCACAGGGAGCCGGGTGTGGGGGGGTAAGGGATGCTCCAGACAGAGCTCCTCCCTGGACCATCTCCTGCACCCTGGCACTGCCCTGTGCCCCCTCCCTGGCATCCTGCACCCACAAAGTACTCCCCCCGCCCTGTTATCTCCCCTACTAAATCCTCCTGGGCCCTGGCGTAAGCAGCTAAAGCCCAGGCAGGCTTGGGGAAGGAGGGGCAAGGGGGGAGGGGGGCACCCCACTGCCGGCTCCATCTGTGTCCCCAGTGCAGCAGCACCAAAGCAGGGGGAAGGCAGGTGGTGGGCAGGGGGCTTGTCCCCCTGTCTGTCCAGCTAGATGTCTGTCAGGCCTCCCCACCCGCCCCTTCATCTGTTCATGGCAGCCACTTACTCCATAAATCGCCCCCCACCTCCCTGGGGCACTGGGCAGGAGCCTGCAGGGCTGGCAGCTCCCTTTTAAGCTCCTGTGGATTACACCAGGAGGGGTGGGAGGAGAAAGGAGGATGAAGAGGAGGCTGGCAGGCTGGGGACATGGGTGACACCACCCTGGGGGACATACCTGGTCCTGAACACAGCCCCAGGGCTCCCCAGCACCCTCTGAGGCTCCCAGGGGTCCTGCCAGAAGTGATGGGTGGGCTCCACCAGCCTCACAGCCAGCACTCACCCACAGGGAAACGCTCCCCAAACATCCTGTCCCTCAGTGGCCACACCTCCCCTGCTGTCACCCCTCAAATGTGCATGGGATTGTGGCTGTGGAGGAGGTGGGGACCAGGGAAGGAGGCAGGGAAAGTGGAAAGAAGCAGCAGGAAGGTGGCAGGAAAGTGGTGGCAGAGCTCGGGTCTTTATTTGGTCCCAAGGGAGGTGGTGGCATGGCGTGGACCCAGCATGGTGCAGCAGGGCTGGGTTGCCACACAGGTGTGTGAGCAAGCAGAGGGGTAGGAGGGCTGGTCATATTCTCCTGCCCCATGGGTCCCTCCATACAGCCCATCCTGCTCACTCCAGCTGCTGCAGGAAGGCCAGGAGCCCATGGTGCCACTCATCAGGCTTGTCCAGGTAGCAGGGGTGCCCGGCACCCTGCAGCATCAGCACCCGGTGCTCAGGGAGGTGTTGCAGGTTGTTCAGGCTGGTCTGCCCCAGCTCCACATCCTGGTCCCCATAAACAATCAGCGTGGGGGTCTGCAGAAGGGGAACACACCCTGAGCTTGCCAACAGCACCCAAGCACCTGCTCCTCCTGGCTAGGGACACCCTGGTGCAGGAAATGGAGGGGAGACACTTGCCTTATCCCCCACCCACCATGACAAAGAGAAACTAAGGCTTAGACTCCTGGGTCTCCTAATGCCCCTTCTTTCCCTTTTGGTTACCCATGGTCGCACTCCTTCATCAGCATGTTCCCCTTTTCCGGTGGCAGAGGCCCGTTTGGTCTTTCTCCTGCCTATTCTGGTTGCAAGGTCTCTTTCCCATCACTCCCTCCCAGTCCCCACCCTCCCTCAATGTCCTTCCAGGCCATACTTTGATTTGGGCATATTGCTCCGCAGTGAATTTCTCGGTGCAGATGGGTGCCACAGGCACATATGCCTTGAGCAGGTGGTTGTGCTGGAAGAGGAAGGGCAGGGAATACATGCCGCTGAGCGATGGGCTGATCACCACAGCTGGACCAAGGCACAGAGCCTCCGAAACAGCTCTCAGGAAAGCCCCGGGCGCCGGCTGGCCCACGGGTGCTGGGGCTATAGCATCCTTCGAGCGGCCCAGCCCTGAGCCATGGAAGACAGAAGTTGCTCTGTCACTGTCCCAGCCGCCTAGTGACCAGGAGAAGCCAGCACAGCGGGATGCCGGGGGTGCCACCCTGGCACTACAAACCCGAGCAGCTCTATCTGCACGCCCCTCGCTCCAGCCTGTGCTCACCACTGCGCCTTACCCGGCAGGTCGATAGCCACAGCTCGGTAGCCGTTTTCGGCCAGCGTGGCAAGCGTCCGCAGCTGAAGCCAGGTGTCGGAGGAGAAGCGAATGCCGTGCAGCAGCAGCACCGGCAGCTTCGGTGCCTGCTGGGCCGGCTCAGCTTGGCGGTAGAAGAGGGTTTGGCCTTCCACCGTTATGGTGCTCTCGGTGAGCCGCGGGGCTGCCATGCCTGGGGTCGGGAGGGCTGCTGGGGGGGGTTGAGGAGTGAAAAACCACAGACGCGTGCCTAGTAGGAGGAGTGACGGCGCTTGTCCTGGTGTCGAGGACAGCGGGTGTGGGAAGGCAGAGGCTGTGGCACTGCTACTGGGACCGGGGGGTTACCCTGGCATCACCCTCTTTCTGGGGGACCCCGAAGGGGGCCGGCACCGGGGTGCGTGCGTGGGGCCGCTCGCTCACGGCCCCGGCCCCGGCCCCTGCCTCAGTTTCCCCGCCCAGCGCTGGGCCTGCGGCCCTTACCTGCTCCTCCGCCCCCAGTGCCGGCCGCTGCTCGCCTCCCGCTCCCCGCAGTGCTCCGGGGCTGCGGGTGCCGCGCCCCGGTCCAAAGGGCGGTGGAGCGGAGCGGGGGGGAGCAGCGGCCCCCTTCTACCGAGCCCCACCGAGTTCGGGTCGAGCGGAGCCGAACCGGGGCCGAAGTGCGTCGAGCGCTAGCCGAGCTCTGGTCGAGTCGAGCCGAGTGCAGCCAAGGGCCCTACCCGAGCTTTGCCGAGCTTTGCCGAACCCTAGCCAAGCCAGCCGAACTCTGCCGAGCACCGCCGAGCCCTTGCCGAACCGACCCGAGCCCTGCCCGAGCGCCGCCGAGCCCCGTCAAGCCGGGGCTCCTCTCCCGGCACCAGCCGTTCTTCACCGGGCCCCGGCACCGTGCGGCGGGCACGGCCCCGGCCCCGGTCGACAGCACTCGGGGCCTGCAGCGCTGCGGCCTCCCGCCAGGCGGAGCCCGGGACAACGGGCGCGGCGCCGTGAGGGCCGAGCCGGGGGAGCCGCGTGTCCCGGCTGGAGCTGAGGGGCGGCAGCGCCGGCGGCCGGGGCCAGCGGCAGCTCGGGAGGCCGGGGCCGAGCGGGGCTGCCAGCTCCTGCCGGGGGGGCCGCAGGCCGGCCCGGAGCTGAGGAGAGCGCTGCGGGTTGGGGCCTGTCCCCCACAGCAGTGGGGTTTGGGGCTCCAGGTCCCTGGCTGCCGTTTTTCTCCGGATGCTGCTCACCCGCAGCCGCCTGGAGCTCCTGCTCCTCGGGGTGCTCTTCACCTTCCTCCTCTACCTCCTGCTCCCGGCCGCCCAGAGCGGGCAGCGCTCGTCTGGTACCCGGTCTGACAAGGCGACGCGGGACTGGCCGGTGGCCAGCGCCATCGCACGAACGGGGATGGCTGCGGGAGAGCCCCCTGTCTTCTACAGGGAGGTTTCTGCAGGGCCCCAGGGCAGCGGCACTGCCGGCCCCGGGAGGTGGGTCATTCCGCCGGCTCCGGTGCCACTGCTGCAGGAAGGAGGGGGGTGACAGGCCCTGGGTCGGTCTATATGAGCCCTCGTGGCTGCTGGACCTCTGCAGGGATGGCATCTTCCCTGAACCTCTTCCCGCCTGTCTTCCCCACTGTAGGCCCGATGTCCTGTTCCTGCATGGCCAGGCATTCACCTCCAAGACGTGGGAAGCCTTGGGCACACTGGCGCTGCTCGCTGGAGAAGGCTACCGTGCGGTTGCAATAGATCTGCCTGGTAGGACCATGGCGCTGCACTTAAGTTGATCCCTCTGGACAGCTCCAGTCCCTCACCTCAGCCACTGCTGGGCTCTGGACCTCTTCGTGCTAGCGGTGGTCCCTGGGGCAGTGTGCTGGGGCATTGGCCTCTGTGGCCACCTTTGGCTGGGGTTGGCTCGGGCTGGCTGGAATGTGGCTGTGGCTGTAGAACCACTGTAGCTTGATCGGGTGCCCATTTTTTGCCACGCCAGCTGAGCCCTGGGGGGAGAGACCATTGCAGGCTGCACAATCCTCCCTGCCCTGTGCCCACCCCATGCTCTCTGCCCCATGCCAGGCTATGGGGATTCACCTCCTGCAGAGTCGGTGGCTACGGTGCAGGGCCGGGTGGCTTTCCTGGACCATGTCCTCCGGGAGCTGGGCATGCAGAGGCCCGTTCTCGTCAGCCCCTCCATGAGTGGCCGCTTTGTCCTCCCCTTCCTCCTGGCACATGGGGACCAGCTGGCTGGATTCGTGTCCATTGCACCTGTGGGCACCAAGGACTACACTGCTGAGCAGTACCGGCAGGTCCAGGTGAGGTGGGTTATTGGGCTGCTGGGGGTCCCTGTATCCTGGCAAGCCTTGTGGACCAGCTGGCTGGAGGGTGGCATGGAGGGTGGCCCTGTTTTGGGGTGAGTGAGGGAGACCTGTGCCCATCCAGCTCATGGGGGAGCTAGCTACTGCACCATTGGCTTTGTAGCCCCATATGGTGACAAGATGGAGGTGGGCACAGCCCAGAGGAAGCATGGTGGCCAGTTCCGCCTCTCACAACCTCTCTGGTTTTCTCTTTCCCCTTACCAAGACACCCACCCTGATCCTGTATGGTGACCGTGACACAAGGCTGGGTTCCCAGGCCCTGCAGAGCCTGCGGCACCTCCCTGGGCACCGTGTGGCCGTGGTGCCCGGTGCCGGCCATGCATGCTACCTGGACAAGCCGGCGGATTTCCACCGGGCCCTGCTGGACTTCCTGAGCCAGATGAAGTAAGCGCTGCCTCATTCCCTGCCGAGTGGAGGACTGGGGCGCACCGGGGGGTGGGGTGGGGTGGGGGGTGGGGGTGTGTGTCTGTTCTCTTTTGGGGTGTCCCCAGGGTGGCAGGGGACAACCACTGAGAGTTTCTTTTGCTGGCAAGACAGGGTGTCGTCTGTCAGGAGGCCAATAAACTGATGCTGCTCTGGTTTCTGCGTGTGTCTCCAAGCGCCGCGGGGCTCCAGCCCCATCTCTCTTCCTGCAGTGTGGGACAACACGGTGCACTGCCGTCCCCCTGCCTGCCCCCTGCCTTCAGCCCATTCGGTGGCCCCGCTCCTCCCCTGCCCGCCTCCTGCCCGCCTCCTGCCCGCTGCCGCTTGCGGGGCGGAGCGGAGCGGGACCGAGCTGGCGGAGCGGGGCCAGGCCGGGCCGGGCCGACGCCGGCGGCAGCAGCGCGGAGGTAGGGCCGGGGAGGGCGGGTGTCCGGAGAGCGGGGTCGAGACAGCAGCGCCCGGCAAGCCACGGGGGCTGACCCCGTGCCTTCGTTTCTCCCTGAACACGCGGCGCTTGCCGCGGTACCCCGCACCCCCACGTACCTCCGTGCACCCTTAAGGACGGTATCCCGCATCCCTCCTGCACCTCCTTACACGGTACTCTCCACCCTTAACCACGGTACTCTGCCACCCCCCCGTACACCCCCTTACCCGTAATCATGGTATCTTGCATCCCCTGCACTCCCAGCCACGGTATTCAGCACCCCTCTGCCCTCTTGCTTGTGCTACTCCTGCACCCCAATAATGCGATTGCTGCATCCCAACCCATGCAGTCCTTGAGCCCCTAATCATGGGACCTTGCACACCCCTGTGCCCCTAGCCGTGGTGTGCTGCCCCCCCCTTCCCTCTTCTCCACCCCCTTAACCACAGCACGCCTGCACCCCTACCCATGGTACCTCACACTCCCATAACTCTAACCATGGTGTCCCTGCGTCTCTTCCTACTCTAACAATGATCCCCTGCACCCCTACTCCCATACTTCCCCGGTATTCCCCTTCACCCGTCACGTGCCCCTAAGCACCCCACATCCTCCTGCTCCTCCGGCTGCCCAGCACCTTTCAAACACCCAATAGCCTGTCACTCTCGTGTACTCCTGTAGCCCATAGCCCCTCTGTCTTCTGTAAGCACCTGATCCCCCTTTACCACCCCATTTTCCTGCATCTCCAGCATCTTTCCTTGCACCTCTCCTGCACTCCCTAAGCATGCAGTGTCCCTCTTTCCTTGCCTGCATCTGCCCTGGCACTGTGTTTGAGGCAGGAACATGTGCTTTGGGGGGAGAATGAAAGGACACATTGGGGGCATCCTGCCTCCATTCCCAAGTAGTGGGAGATTTCTCCCATGGAGGCGGTGTTCCAGGACTTGTACTGGGGAGACCTTTGTCCTGTCCCACTCCGGTTTCTGTGATGACTGAGCTTGCTGCGGACTTTGGAGGGGCCGGTGGGTGATTAACCATCTTGCAGCTCTTCCCCCAGAGCTTTGCAGCCTTTGTCCCTGCCATGGCACCTGGAAAGCCTGGGAAGAGCACGGGGGCCTCAGAGGACCCCTCAGTTACGCTTTTCCGGGAGTACCTGAGGATTGACACTGTGCACCCCAAACCTGACTATGGTGAGGATGGGTTTGGGGGGGGGGGGGGGGGGCAGGATAGGGAGCTGTGTTGGGATCTGGCAATGTGACTTTATGGCTCTGGTCTTTGGACCCAGGTGCCTAAATGCTGTGCCAGGGCTGTTTTGATTGTGGTATTAAGGAGCAAATGCTTTTGTGCCTTATCTCTGCTGCTAGCTTTGGTTAGGACAGGGTTGTCTTGAGTGCTCCCAGAGCTGCTGTTCACCTCCTCCAGCCCCATGCCCCAGGGTCCCCCTTTTCCATGCTGCCCTGGCTGTGGGCAGCAACCCCCTGCTGATGTCCTTCTGTTAACATTTCTATCCTTCCACGTACTGAGGTACATCAAGATTGTTTTATTGGTGGGGAGCTCCCAGACTCCTATGGAAGGTCATCCCCCTGACTCACCCCCTTCTTTTATTTTTTCATGTTCCCCTAATCTTCACCCAAAGGGATGATGATGAGACACTCCTGTCGCTGCTCCTGGTCACCTTTTGTGCCCAGGACCTCCGTCACCTGCCCTCTCTGGTCACCTTTTTCCTTGGCCTCGGAACCCCAGGGAGCCTTGAGGTCCCTGGGGGGTACAGTGAGAGGGGAGGGAAATGCCAGTGTAATTCCAGGCATCCCCACTCCTCCCTAGATGCTGCTGTCCGGTTTCTGGAGCGCGTCGGCACTGACTTGGGCTTGGCCTGCCAGAAAGTGGAGGTGAGACAAGGAGCAGCCCCATGTCTGTCCATCTGTCCGTTCATGCATCTGTCCGTCCATCCGCCTTTGCCCAGAATCTTAGTGACCAGGCTGTTCCTGCATGCTGCCCGGAGCTGAGCAGGAGTGAATCGCCTCCGGAGCTGAGCAGGAGTGAATCGCCTCTGCCTGTAATCCTGAGCTGACCAGAGCCCTTCCTTAAGCCCATATTCGTCTGGTCCCTGCTGACCTCTGCAGCTGCCTGTGCTATCATTAGCCAGGGACCTGGCAGGGTCATGTTGGCTGCAGTGTACTTCTTGCTGGGCACTGAGTGACCCAGGGAGCTCCTTGGCTCTGGGAGAAGACTCTGGTTTGTCTCCTTTCCTCTGTCTGAATGGCAGCCAGGTCTCGTGCCTGCTGCTGGGCTCTGGCTGGCTGGGGTGGGTGGGCTGGGGTGTGCAGGCATGCCTGCGCCTGCTGCCTGCCCTATCCCAGCAGAGAAAGGGGTGACCTGCCAGGTGGCATCGAGAAACACTTCTCAGGGTGTTGATTTTCATCTCCAGCCCCTCTGTCCCCAGCCTGGACCTCAGTGACGTCCTGTGCTTGCCCCACAGGTGTGCCAGGGCCGTGTGGTGCTGGTCCTGACCTGGCAGGGCACGAACCCCCGCCTGCGCTCCATCCTCCTCAACTCACACACCGATGTTGTGCCTGTCTTCGAGGTGCTGGGACAAGGGGAGGTGTGGGACGGGCATGGTTGGGCTGGAGTATAGGAGAACGGGAGCTTAGGCCCGCTGTGTCCCTCTGCCATAGCGGCTGCTCTTCCCCGCAGGAACACTGGACCTACCCACCCTTTGAGGCTGTTAAGGATTCTCAAGGCAACATCTATGCCCGCGGTGCCCAGGACATGAAGTGTGTCTCCATCCAGTGAGTGGAAGGCTCTGTGGCCACCGGGTGGGCATGGTGGTGGGGGTGCTGATAGGTGCAGGACAGGATGCCACCATCCCCAGTGTCCCCCAGGGACTGAGGACCATCCCCAGTGGTCCCCAGTAGGGGCTGAGGGTGCCACTGCTTTATCCCCCCTGGGGTTGCTCTGAGCACACCAGCCCCTCTCTTGAATGATGACCTGGCACCACCTTCACCCTGCAGGTACCTTGAGGCCATCCGGAGGTTGAAGGCAGAGGGAAAGTGTTTTGCCCGCACCATCCACCTCACCTTTGTGCCCGGTGAGTTCCAGGGTGTCCCCTCTTAGGGGGATAGAAGGGGCTGGCAGCTGGGTGATGCTCTGGAGTTCCCTGCCAGCCTCTCCAGATTTTGAGCTCCCCTAGCTCAGGGCTGGAGGAGTTTCCATGTCCAAGGACGTCAGGTGCACTGGTGGCACCCAGGCTGATGTGGAAGGAGGACTGGGGGGGTGGTGGGCCAGGGGACACCCTGGTTCTTTCCTCCATACCAGGCTCTCCCCTGCAGATGAGGAGGTGGGTGGACACAAGGGCATGGAGATGTTCGTGCAGCGCCCAGAGTTCAAAGCACTCAATGTGGGCTTCGCCCTGGATGAGGGTGAGTGGTGGTAGGGCTGGCATAGGGACGTGTCTCCTCTTGGCACACACCCCTCTGCCTGTTGTCATCAACCCTTGGGCACTGACACCCGGCACGGCTTCCAGGGTCTCCTTCCCCAGCAGTGACCCACACGGTGCCAGCCTGAAGGGGAAATGCTGCCAGGGCAGACAGAGCAGAGGGGGGTGCATCACAGCACTTCTGCCTCACTGACCCCCTGTCTGTGCCCACCACAGGCCTGGCCAGCCCCTCTGACACCTTCAGTGTCTTCTACGGCGAGAAGAGCCCATGGTGTGAGTAACTACATGCCCACTGCCCCACCCTGGATGCTGAGACACTGGTGCCACCCGGGCTGTCTGCTCAACGCCTTCTCCCCAAACCTCTGCAGGGATAAAGGTGAAGTGCATGGGCAGCCCCGGGCATGGATCCCGCTTCATCAGCAACACAGCGGCTGAGAAGTTGGTAAGAGAGGGGGTACAGCCTGTGCACTCCCCTGCCTGCCCTGGGACCAGTCCTCACCTGCTGCCCTTCCCTCCCCAGCACAAAGTCATCAGCTCCTTCCTGGCCTTCAGGGAGAGTGAGAAACAGAGGTAGGAGACAGGCAGTGGGATGGCTGTGGTTTTAGTTTGGTCCATGGAGGGTGTCCTTGGCTTCCCGAGCCAGGCTCTGATCTGGCACGTCTGCTCTGTGCCTCGGTTTCCCCGTTTGGGGCTGGCAGCGGGGTGGGGGAGTGCTTCTCCTCCTCCTCAGGTGGCGGAGGGTGACTCTCCCTTGCGTCCCTCGAGGCTCAAGTCCGACTCAAGCCTGACCCTAGGGGACGTCACCTCACTCAACCTGACCATGCTAGAGGGGGGCGTCTCCTTCAACGTGGTGCCCTCTGAGATGGCGGCCGGCTTCGACATCCGCATCCCACCCACCGTGGACCTGAAGGTGGGCGCCGTGCGAGTCCCGCTGCCTGGGAGCGGATTGGGGATACCCTGCTCACACCCCTCCTCTGGTGTCTGCCTCAGGCCTTTGAGGAGCAGGTAGCCGCGTGGTGCCGGGATGCTGGGGATGGTGTCACCTATGAGTTTCTCCAGGTGAGGGGGTCTCAGCTACCTGGGTGCATCGTGCCCATCCCTCCCCTGCCACGTGCCCACCCTCTGCCCATCGCCTGCCCTATCCCTCCTTCAGAAATGCATGGACCAGCACATCACCTCCACTGAGGAATCGAACCCGTGGTGGAAAGCCTTCAGCGGGGTCTGCAGGGACATGTGAGTAGTACCCCCAGGAGGGACAGGACCCTGATGGGGACATCCTTTGTTGGGAGCCAGGTGGTCCGCAAAGGTCTCTGGGGTCATGGCAGGGATTGGGAGGGTGTGCTCAGTGCTGTGCCAAGGCATCTCCCTGTGCCCCCCTGAAAGGGATGGGACTGAGTTTACTGGAGGGTATGACATTCTTGGCATGGTATCTTTGCCCATGGGGTGGCAGGGGGACAGGAGACCTGGCTGCCCCTGTGCCCATACTGCCACAGGGTCTTGCTTGCCAGGAAGCTGCAGCTCAAGCTCGAGATCTTCCCAGCTGCCACCGACAGCCGCTACATCCGAGCGGTGAGTGCGATGCCAGCCCACCCATGGGCTCCACACCAGGATGAGACCTGCAGCTCCAGGCGGGAGCCCAGCATAGCCCCGGCCTCACCCTGCACCCCCATCCCCAGGCAGGACACCCTGCTATCGGCTTCTCGCCCATGAACCGCACCCCAGTGCTGCTCCATGACCACAACGAGTTCCTCAACGAGCAGGTCTTCCTGCGGGGCATTGAGATCTACGCCTGCCTCCTGCCCGCCCTGGCATCGGTGGCCCCGCTGCCCTCCGAGGGCTGAGCACCCTGGCAAGGAGTGGGAGGGGGGGATGCCAGCAGTGGGACACAGGGCTTTAAGAGGGGGCAGGGCATGGGCACAGCAGATGCCTGCCAGCATCATGCCGCATGGCTGTGCTCAGTGCTGGCCCAGTGGTGATGCCTGTGCCGAGCATCCTGGCTGTGTCCTCGAAATCCAGGTCCCAGCCACCCTCCTGGGGGTTGTGCTCCAGGTGCCATCAGAGCCTTCTGCCCAGTGCCTCCTGTCTTTCCTGGTCTCAGTGATGCCATCTTGTCCCTGTGCCACCTCTGGCTGCGCTGGCTCTGGGGTAAGGGGCTGGCCAATGCCTGGTTCTGCCTGCCCGTGCCTTGTCCTGCTCCCTGCCCGCTTGTCAGGGGAGCTGGGGCCAGTGCTGCGCATCGAGTCAATAAATCTTGGCAAGCACAGCCAGGGGCTGTGCGTGTGTGTCTGTCCGTGGCATTGCCTGTGGGGTCTCAGGGAGCCCAGGCACAGAGGATTTCCAGTGGGGTCTGCTGGGTGCTCCCTGCTCCCCTGGGATCGCTGGGCTGTGGGATGGGGTTGCAGGCAGGATCCTGCCTGGGCAGGCTGCGGGGCTGCCTCAGGGTACTGGGGAATGCAGGAGCGGCTGGTGGTGCTGGATTCACCCTGCTCCTTCCCTCCCATTAGCTCCTGCTGCTGTGCTGCTCCCCCAGACCCTCAGGCCTGGGCAGGCAGTGTGCGGGTACGGGCAGGAAGCCTGTGCTTATCTGCCAGAACTGCTGTAAGCTGCATCTCCTTGCTTTCCCAGCTCCACATGGCTCCCAGCACCCAGAGGTGCTGGATCTGTCCTGGAGCCACGCTGCTCCCCAGGGAAACTAGGGCGATGGCCAGCCCAGAGCTTGCTGAGCTGATTTGAGGTGGTTTTACCCTGGGTTGCAGAGTTACTCCATTACAAAAGTGGGAGTGTTGTGTGTGCCATGGGGTGCTGTGGGGTCCTGCTTGCTGGCTGGATCCCCACTCAGGGTGCAGATGAGCACCCTTGCAGGCAGACAGCAGTGCATCCTTGCTGCCCTGTCCCTTGCTCTGTGAGCGCACCAAAACTGCATGTGGTACCCCGTGCCCTCCACAATCCTGTGCAGCCCCCTTCCCAACCAGCCTGGTGTCCCCAGCTTGCCTGGCCTCTGAAGTGGGATCCGAGAGCCCTGCACTTGCTAATGTTTGGAGGTCACCCCAAGCTGAGCGTCCTTCTAGGGGGACCCGCCTGTGTACCCTCTCCTGCTGCTTCAGGGGGCAAGGCTGGGGACCCTAGCTCCCCCCGCCCGCCTTGCTCCTAATCCTCAGGGATGAGCCAGAGGCGTCTGTGGGGTTACTTTTGGAAGGGGGTTGCGCAGCAAAGCTTAAACTGCTGGTGGAGGGTGATGATCTGTGGATGCGCAGAGCTCTCACAGTCCCGGGAGTGAGAGGTGAGGTTCGGGGCGTTGTGGCCGTCGCGTCCTGCACGGCACCCCCCGCGCATCGCCGGGGGCCGGGGCCGGGCCGGGCCGGGGCGGGGCGGGCCATGGGCGGTCGGATGTCGGCCCCATAAATGCTCGGTGCCACCATCAGCCACGGGAGCTCCGGCGGGATGCGGGCGGCGGTGCCGGTATCGGTGTGCGTATGCTGGCTGGGGGCTGTGCTGCTGGCGGCGGAGCGCAGCCCCCCCCGGCTCCGCCTGCCCTACCGCGGTGAGTCGGGCCGGGGCCACCTGCAGCGGGCAAAGGGGGGTCCTCAAAACCCCCTCCACGGGGACCGGGAGGGGCCCTGAGGAGCCTCAGAAGCGCCCGAAGCGCGGGCTCGGGGGGTGGTTGGGGAGCACCTTGAGCTGGGGGCTCGGTTTGGGCTGGGGGTTCGGTGCGTGGCTGCTCTGCCGTTCCCCACGCGGGATGTGTGTGGGGAGTCCCGAGGAGGAGGAGGAGGAGGAGGAAGGAGGGAGCCGGTGATGGGAGGAGGGGATGCGCCGCGGGGCTCCTCGCCAGCCCTGCCGCTTCCCATGAGGGACCGTGTCCCTCGTGGAGGGGGGGGAAACTGAGGCACGGCGCTGCCCCGGCACCGGCAGGGTCTGCCATGAGGGTCGGGTGGGTGTTCCCCGGCGTGGGCATCCCCGTGCGGGCTCCACGTCCTGCCCGCGGCTGGGTGGAAGCCGGGTGCTGCCCGGCAGGTCCCCTTGGTGCTGTTGGCCCGGGCCTCCTGGGACCCCCCCCTTCCTTGCGGGGCCGCGGGTGCTGGGGTGCCGGGGTGGTGGGGCACAGCACGGGAATGCTTGGTTTTAATTACAGCTCTCCCTGTGATCCTGCTCTGGCTTGCTGCATCCCCAACTCTGCCAGCTTAATCCACAGGCTGCTTCCAGCCAAACTTGACAGAGGAGTCTGGAGCGCTCCAATCTCCTTCCTGCCTAAAAGCAATGAACCTGCTCTAAAAAAAAAAAAAATAAATAGAATAAATCGCATAATGCATATTTTCCCAAGGAGGGGAAAAGCCTGGGGTAGCCCAGCTCTTGGAGAGCCCTGGGAGCTGCAGAGCATGTGCCTGTGCTGGGGAAAAGCTGTTCTGCGTCCTTGTACTGCCCGGGCTGGGGGTCTCCTGCCCTGTGGCACGGGCTGGCTGCATCCCCGCCTCTCTCCTGGGGCAGAGCAGGAAAACCCCAGGAGCTCCCTCCCTGCTGAAAGGGGGAAGCTGAGGCACGCAGTGGCCCAGCTTACCCTGGGAGGCAGCAGGCGCCCAGTGTGGCTCATGGCTCTGCCCCGTGGTGGGAATGGCAGGGTGGGAGGTCAGGGGTCCCAGCAGAGCTTGATGCAGGGCTCAGGGTCTGTCTGGGTATCTGGTCAGCACAAAGTCCATCCGTGCCATTCCTCAGGTGCAAGGGGCTCCTAGGGCTCCGCAGCCTCCCGCGGGGAGCAAATAACCTTTTGAAGCTGTTTTTATTTCCTTCTTAAGCTGATTATTCTGTTCCTCTTCCAAATTGGAAACAGAAACTGAGATTTCCCATGAAACAAATTCTGCCACCGCCTTCTCCCTGGGGGGCAGAAAAAGAAAATTTCAATTAAAGCCATTGGAAGCCTCTGAAATGAAAACCAGGGTGAAGCGAAGCTGCCTGTGCTTAGCTGGGCTGTGCCTGGCTGTGGCTCTGACTGCTGGGTGTTGACTGGGGGGGGGGGCAATAGGGGAAGGTATTGTGCTGTGGGTGCAGCGCATCCCCAGCTCTCCCTCTCACTTAAACTCTTTTCCTTTTGCTCTGACCTTCAGCAGTTGCTTGTGTAAGAGGGGAAGGAGCATTTTGCTGTTGTGTGGACTGGGAGCACTGCAGCACAGCCTGGTGCCCTTCTAGCTACCCGCTGTCCCTCCCAAGGGACACCCCGCAATTGAGGGATGACTCCTATAGGACCCCCACCCTAGGGTAAAAGGGGTCCTGGTGATGGATGGGGCATGGAAGGGTGCTGCTCCCTGGGGAGGTGAAGCCAGGGAAGAGGAAGGGCCTGGAGCCGGTGTAACCTGAGGCACCAGGAGGAATTTGCCGGGGCTGGGGGAGAAGGGGAAGCCTTGCCTGAAACAATACGAGGAGCCTGCTGACTTTGCCAATGTTATTCTGAGCTGGGAAAATATTATTGCTGGGCAAGAACAGAAGGAGACAAGAGTTTTCCCGGGCTGGGCCCGGCGATATGGGAGGACCGGAGACACTGGGAGGGCACAGGGAAGAGGGTGCCCTCCCCCGGGGAGACGGGGTGGAGGGGCCCCTGGTGCCAGCTCTGCTTGCAGGCACAGGGATCTGCCCAGTGAGTTGCTGTGGCTGTGATGCCACCAGCACCACCAGTTAGGGCACTGGGACTGCCCTTGAGTGACCTGGTGCGATGGGAGCTGTGTGTGATGGGGTGGAAGGGGCTGTTGTCCCGCCGGGACTGTTTCTCTTACAGGTCCCGCCAGATGGGGCATTGCGCAGCTGGCCACCTCCTCCCTGGAAGTGATAAACGTCCCTCCAGCAAGAGCAGGGCTTGGTACCCCCCTCTCATGGGGACGTGTGTGGGGCTTGCGCAGGCTGGGGGCTTCCCTGGGGTCAGGGTCAGCATTCCTCAGAGAGGGTGTTTGGGGACACGGCTGCACTCATCAATGGCGCTTTGTCCTCTTCCTCCTCCCCAGCCACTGGCCTGGGTTTCAGAGCCGGGTGAAGCTGAGCTGCTCCCTCTTGCCCTCTCTCTCGGCAGCAGCTGAGTGGGCGCCACCGTGACGGGGTTTTCAGCTTGCTGACCCTGAAAGTCATTTCCCACCAGGACCCAGTCTCGCCACTGCCCCCGCGGCGGCATCACTGCGAGGGTCCTCTTGGCATCTGACAGGATTCAGGATTGGACCTGCCTTGGAAGCCTTGACTGTCAGGCCTCGTTGCTCTGGAATGTGTTGTCCACCCCAGGGACACAGTGTCCCCATGCCGGTCCAGCTTCTCCTAGAGTGCTGCCCCGTGCCATGGCAGGGAAAAAAACAGTGAGGTCTGGTGGTGCCATCGAGGTCTGGTGGTGACGGTGGTGGGCTTTGTGTGCCGGTTTCCCCATGGCACTGGCTGGGTGCCTGCTACTGTGTCCCTGCCTGGCACCTGGTAGGGGCAGTACCTGCTTTCTGCCCACCCTGTGCCTGCTCTTGCCACCCTCCCGGGCTCCGTGTGAGCCCAGCCCGGAGCCAACAGCACGGCACAGCCTTTGCCAGGCTCTCACACACCTGACTCGCTGTGGCACGGACGCGGTAGAAGCCTGGGGTGGCCCAGCCAAACCTTGCTGGGCAAGGTGAGGGGGGGTGGAGGTAAATGCTGCTCTCCGCAGCAGCTGGGAGCAGCTCTTCTGCTCTTAGTCAGGACTAGCAGCTCAAAGGGACCCTCCTGTCTGTGCCCATCACGGCCCTGCAGTTACCCCTTCAAAAAGCCAGGAGCCCTTGGTGTGGCCACCGGGGTGCGGGTCTAGGTGTCCTCTTGTGTTTCCCAAGAGGGTTTGAAGGGTGTTAGTGGGCTGACACTTCCCTCCCTCTCTGGCAGACCTTTTGGGCACCAACCGCTCCGTCCTCTTCTTCGGCCACCGTGGCTTCCTGGGCTTCCGCTCCCTCTACCTGGATGAGTACCATGACCGGCTCTTCATTGGGGGGAAGGATGTGCTGTACTCCCTGCTCCTGGACAGGGCCAATGCAGATGCTAAGGAGGTGAGCTAGGTCCTGCTGAGCACCCCGGGGGCTCCATCCCTGCCCTGGCCCCTGTGCAGCCCTCACCCCTCTGAGTGAATAGTGCCCAACCAAGCCAGTTGAAGCCCTGGGGATGTCTGCATCTCAGACACGCTGAAATACATCAGAACATTTGCACGCTGGTGGTGCAGCCCCACTCGTGGTTCCTGGGTGCTGAGCTGGGTCTTGGACCCCACTCTCCTAAAAAGCGACCATT